TATTCTACGAAATAACAAAAACAATTTTTCGCATTATTAACATGAACAGATTATCTCTTTTTTAAATACATCTTGACCGTTTCATAGATTGATTAAATTTGCTACAAATCAAAGTGAATTCCTTTGTACTCCATTTGTTCTCCGATTGACGCAGCTAGGGTTCGCCATCGACATCGCGCTGCTAATTTTCGCTGGCTGTACGGTTTTTACAGTACAGTACAGTCAGCTGTAGGAAATAATTTGTGAAGAACTAGTGCGTAATCGGAAAGGCTAGCGTCAGAGTTTCAGGTAACAAACCATGAGCAAGACCGGTGGGTTAACCAGGATTAGCCATGTGATGTCTAAACTAGGGTTGTGATGGCGATTAGGGTTAATTATTTTTGTCAAAGAATCAACCCAACCAAAAAGAATGCGACGGTTTGACTTTTTGGGAAATTAAGGGAGGGATATTTTGGTATTGACTTTCCAAAAATACCCTTGATGTGATGGGTAAAAGTAGGATGTGATGGGTAGATTATTAGGAAAAAGGTATGATGTGATAGGTAGGGTATGAAAAAGTAAGGGGTAAAAGTGGTTTTTTAATAGAAATGTAACGGACTTTACGGAACGCAGTTTTTTCTAAACGTAACAAACTTTTTGGGACGGAGTGAGTAGTTTTTATCCACGAATAATTTTTATATATCCTAGCACGTCTTCTCACGTGTAGGTGTAGTCCTTGTAAGCCTTGCACGTGAAATTTTGACTTTTTCGTAAACTTGAGGACGCTGAGTTTCGAACTCATGACTTTTTAGTCAACTAGACTTCGAGCGTGGTGCTGATGCAGGCAATGCTGGTTCCGCATTTCAAAGGGGTGACTGCGGAGTCGAAGTCGAAGGAGCTGATGAACACCGACGTCAAGATCTGGAACGGGAGCACCGAGCATGGCTATATTGGGTCCTAATGTAAATAGTCTAGCTTCTCTCTTCTATATATATATATATATATATATATATATATATATATATATATATATATATATATATATATATATATATATATATATATATATATATATATAAAGGTTCCCAATCAGATCCTCGCGTAATGTAAAGTTTATTTGTGGACGGAGGGAGTACTTTTTATTTTTATACTAATTTATAATTAAAATGATTTTAAAAATGATAAGGTGTTGGACGTTGTTCGAAGTGTAGCATTCCTATATAGGATGGAGGGAGTATTTAATGCTTCATCCATCCAAAATCACTTTGTGGATTAGACTTGGCACAGAGATTAAGAAAAGTTAAAAAATACGGAGTATTAAAACTTTTCACATATTACCCCTGATGTGTTGGAATCAAGTGAATAGTCTAAATGAAAAGTGAAAATATAACAAGACATTCATTAGAAGTTTCCAAAAAAAGAAAATGAATAAGAAATTTTTGAACAACATAAAAAAATAATTAATAGACAAATGAGTCCTCAGTAGATGATGGGTTTTTTTGAGACCAAGATTGTGTCTTAAAAATCATACTAGAGGGTTATTTATGAAGGGTTGGAGTGATCTACTCCCTCCAAAATCTTTCTTATTTTGTTTTTCATCTGTCTCAAAAAAAATTCTTCTTTCTCTTATAAAATTACTTTTACTCTTACTATATCTTAACCTACATATCACATTATACTTTTTTAATATTAATCAATCTATCACATCTATTTTTATCCATCTCATCCAAATGCATTTTTAGAAAGTTAATACCAAAATATGCTTACTTGAAATCTTTTAAAAATCAAAAATCAGAAAAATTCTCTAGGATATGAGAGAATATAATGAAGGAAGAAAGTCAACTTTTAGGAATCCATTAGTGAACTTCATCAAATGGAGAGGGAAGTGGGAAATTGATGATGATGACCAAATAATGAGAGGAGACCCAACTGATTTGATAACCAGACAGACAGAGACAGCAGATATGAGGAAAAAGAGGAGAGCGAAAAATGTTGACCTACCCATACATACATGAACACATTATGTAGTCAGCTCATTAATTAATTGTAATTGACAAAAATGGTATCCTTTTCAATTTTGAAATGCGCGATTGACAACACAGTCCCCTCCGATTTGACTCTTGAACTCAACCGGAATTCTGTCATGCCTTTGCTAGTTGCTACATGCTCTCACTTTTTTATACCACCCTACCTAAACTACCTAAAGTAAGAAAAATTTGCACAAATACTCTAAAGAATGTGTAATTTTGCGTTAATATTTTGAAATTTAATATTTCAAATCGTTACTCACAAACTATTTGATTCTATACCAATACTCTCCGCTACCAACTAAGTAGAATACACGGCATTCTAAATGGTGATTGTTAATTATTAAGTATGTGTTGGCAACAATGGAGTGATAAAAAATAAAAAAAATGTTTCAAACAAAATAAAAAAAATTTGAAGTACATATTTCACAGTCAAATTTATATTTCTTGGCAAGATTTTTAAAATATAAATGCTGGTCTAAATCAATTATAAACTTTTCTAATTTTTTTTATCTAAAACACTACTTATAATTTATTTTATTTAAATATAAACACTTTTTTTTCAATTTTAACACATTTTTATTTGAAATCGTCATGGAAGAGAGTAATTATAACGCATTCAAGGTATTTTCTTTATTTTTGTAATTAATTACTAACTCATACTTAATAATTATCAAGTTATTACTTAAATCACCACATATTCCGCTTAGTTAGTAGCCTGGAGTATTAATGTGAAATTGAATAATTTCTGAGAGCAGTGGAGTAAATTATTTGATTTTGAAGTATTATCATAAAATTACAAATTTCTTGGAGTATTCATGTGAATTTTTCCATCAAATTACTTACACTCCAAAAGCTATATTCCAAATTGTATGGATGTATCTTTATTTTGTGTCAGTGCTAGGGTAGTGCTAGGGTGATGATTCACACAAGCACAAAATGGTAGTATAAACCTATTTTATTGACTAGCATATTATGTCAATCTAAACCATTGAAGTGTTTGAGGTACATTCTATGAATACTTCTAGCATGGTTGTTTTTTATATACATACTTCCCAAAATGTTGGTGCGCCTTGCCAAGAGAAGGAGTGTCAAAGGAGTAGCTGTCTAGTTCAATTTCTGTCAATTGTCCCGGGAGACAATTATGCCAAACATAGTCTCTGGAAGTACCAAATACATGTTCTATTTTTTTTGGAATCAATTTCTGATTAAAACTTAATTTACCTCTTTTCAAATTACCAGGCATGTTTTTGGTATTTGCATTATTAGTATTATAAATCTTATTTTGCAGATAAATTTACAAAACGGAAAATAAATACCAAAAAATTATACTCCCTCCAATCCAATGTAAGTCGCCTGTTTTGATTTATGATATTTGGTTGAAGTTATTTTCAATACTCGGGCATAATTTATTCAAGAATTGTAATGAAATTAAAAAATAAAATTTAATTACATAATGTGTATGTATTAAAATTCTACATCAAACAATTTACTAAACAGGACGTGACATGACTATATTATTTTATTAAGTGAGTAACAAAAATATGAAAATAAAGTAAATACTCCTTCCGTCCTAAAATTAACTTTTCATTTGACTTTTTGCGGTCCCCAACGCGACACTTTAACGATTAATATCTCTATTTTTATATGAATATATATTATAAAAATAATATATTTCAAAACTATGTTTCGAAATATCTTTATTGATAACAAATTTATATGAAAATTCAATTTTTTTTCCCGTAATATACAGTCAAAGTTTATAAAACTTGACTGCAAAAGTCAAAATCAAAAATTAATTTCAGGACAAAGGGAGTAAAATTTAACTTTATAAATAGTAAAAATGCCGCTTAATTTAGAAGGGACGGAATATGACACAATAAATTTGAAGGGACCTAAAACGGGGACAACACATTGGGACAGCACGAAGTGCAATTAATTAGAAGGGGGACAGGGGAGCGGGGCGGAGGAGCCCAAACAAAGACGTAACAGTACTGAAGAGGTGGTGGCCTCTGGTGGTCTGCAATGCATGCGATTGCTGCCCTCCGTGAGTGTGACGACGGTCAGCACCTCTGCACGTCTCCCACAGGCCGCGCACCAGTTTTCATTTATTGCTGACTTTGTAATCCTCCATTTGACACTCACTCTTTATCAATTTTAGTGTTAAACTTCAGTCCTTGAAAATACCAAGTCTAATTCAGTACTAACGTGTTGTGTTGTTTGGTACAATTTTAAGATTAATCTACAAAAGAAGTTCTGAGTGACCCTAATTTATATTATCCCAAATTGCATACTTAAGGCTAATCTAGTTGTGAGTACTTGTGCTTTACAAACACTATTTTAAAATTTTTTATAATATTTAAAAAAAATCATTTCTAGGTCACTACAAGTATACAAGCTTGAGTTTTTAGTTAGATTGATTTCTTGACCAAAATTACTACACTTTTAGGAGTAGTAAAGTCAGTAGTAATAAATTTTAACTTTTTCTCTAAGACATCCAAAATAGAAAAAGTAATTACGTAGGCATATCATTTTGGAACGGAAGAAGTGTTGTGCAGAGTAGTCGCGACGTTTTAATGTTGAATGGGGGCCCCGGACGAGGGCGTTAACATGTTCAGAGTCAAATGAATAATTGAAAGCTAGCTAGACTGGTTTGGAGTTGGGCAAAGAACTTAATGCTAGCTACTAGGGAGAGGTACTTAGCTTTTGTTTTTGGGAGATGCAGGCATTTATAACTCTTGCATCTTGAAACTGATGGATGAGGAGAGGAGTCTATGTTGTCACTTTCCTTTTTTTGCGGCATCTGAATCAAATGTTCCGTTACTGCATCTCCTCCACATTTATTACCCCCTCCCTCCCTCCCAATCAACTCCGGTCCGTCTCCAAATAAACTCAACATTTTGACCTCACGAAAGAGAAAGTTAAGAAAAAAAATATAAAGTTGATTTTTCAGATGTATATCCAAAAGTGGAAATTGTAAAAGATGATTTGGAGAGGGAAGGAGTATTATTATTAATGTGTGGTGAATCAAACTCAGCTGTAACATTACAAACATATGGTCCCTTCATTGCTTGTGTTGATTTGATCCGTTTTCGCATTGCGAAAACTATTGGAAATCTTGGAGGTATTACAATGAGTATTAGTATTATAAATAGCTGTTTAGATAAATATAATATATACCTGAGATAGACATGTATGCGTTAGGCAGGAAGACAAGATGTAAGCTTGAATATCAAGGTTCGGCGGGGAACACTTTCTGTAGAAAGCCAATAAAGCGTTTGGAATAGGCGTTGGGTTCAACCGCGGAAATCGACATCGGGTCAATCTGCATCGATTTGTAGCCGTGCTCTAACTTCTTTTTGATGTTGTAATCCTGCAAGATGTCGATTATACCCATGTACAGAACTACGTCGTACACCTCAAACAGTTCCACTTCAGGAGAATCTTCTTCTTCAGTTCCATCCTGCTTAACCTTGTGCGTTGCTTCAGCTGGCATGTTCACGCCTAACTGCACCCTCAACCTCAATAGACACAAAAAGAAAAAGAAAAAAAAATCACTTAGAAAATAATTGTTTGGGCCCTTAGACCTTGTTAAGTTGGTTGGAGGACTCATCCAAACTCCCCATGTCTCACTCACTACCCCAATTTTCTTAATTTTCTCTTCATGTTCATGCCACTCCTTAGTAGGGGTATTAGACCCCAGACCCTACTTTTTGTGGGATTTTAATTTTACTGGGTCTGTTGTTGTTTCTCTTCATCTTCTTTCATCAAAACGGTTCTAGGCAGTAGTGCAGTACATTATTTTGTTATACATAAATACATATAGGTCTGTAGAATATTACAAAATAAATTTTAATGCAACAAAAATCAAATTTAATGTTTTTCCCGTTGCAAGAAAGGCTCACTGTCAAACACTTCACATTTATCCTAGCTTAGTTTTTCAAGCAATTTACTTATAGAAGAATCAAACCATTACAAAGGATAACTTAAATTTTACCAACTCTTTTTTCAAGCCAACGTAGTATACAACAACGACCACAACAACAATAACCCAAAATAATCCTAACTCCATTGGGGACCGGCGGTCAAAAGGTACACAGTTAACACTGGAAAATTAGAGAAGTTGCTTCTGTTAGACCCTAGACGCACCGGTGCACTGACTACCCAAAACCAAAGTAGTATAATGCTATAAATTTTTCAGATTTATTTTACTGAAGTAATATTTATTCTCCCTCCATGGAACCAAACACATTTTGTTTCACATTTCAATTTTACCTTTTTTCCCTCTTTTGAACTAAAACAGGGGTTTGTTTATTTGCAACCAGGTCAAAGGCGGGCTAACATGGCACATTCTAAGTCAACAACAGGGACCAAAGGTCATGGCTCACCAAGTAAGGGAAATGGGAAGAAGGAATACCTTCCAGTGCCAGGTAAAAGAAGATCAACCTCTCTGTCACCAACTGAGTAGGCTTTCAATGTATTTCCCCTTATGTGGGGACCAGGTTCATCACTCGCAGAGCTAGGCTCATGGGTTACTAAAAGCAAACCCCTTGGAGGAATTGCGATATCACCCTGAGAGGTCTCCCCTTAAAGAAACAAAGTTGACCAATATAGTAAGAAACACTAAAAACAGAAGAATGCAACTAAGGAAAAATTGAACAAAACCAAACAAAACAGGAAAGTGGGTCGGGAATCGACGTTTACCATCAGTTATTGCAGTGGCAGTAATCTCAGGTTTGTGCATGGAATCGGGTGGCTCTAACAGTGTTAATAGATGCTCTGGAGCTCTAAAGTGCAATCCTAATAGAAGGCTATAATCAATTATGTGTTGTCCTTCTAAGAACTGACAGTCGAGAGATAATTGCCTGCAAAAAATGTAAATTCTTGTCCATGACTAAAGGTATGTCTCATGCTTGGATCGGAAAATGTCAAGGAATGAAGGAAAAGAAAAATATTTCCAATGATAGTTAATTAGTTACCAGCATTTTTCACCTTGTAAAATTCAACTGATAAAGAAATATAATTAACACTTTTAAATTTTACATATGTTTAGTTCTCTTGGGCTTGATATTATAGAAACAAATAAAATGAGTAAGAACAAATATCAAAATAAATTTATTGAGTTCCAATGTTTTATTTTTCTGTGGCATTTTCTCCCCTTCCGAATTTCCTCAATATGTTCCACCTAGTTTCCTCTGCTATAACTTCCCGACTTGGTGATTTCCAAATTAATTCTGACAGCTATAATCAATTCTAGTTTTATTTATTCGTAGCTGCTAAACAGGGAAACCGACACCTATGATGAAACTTTTGGCTTTTGTTTTTTAGGTAGCACGTGCAATCATTATACAACTGATTAGGATAGCCAATTTAGATGTCATTCTCAGGCAAGAAGAAAATTTAGAAAACTTTCCATTATCTAAAATGCTCCATTCCACATGCATTTGTTTGATTTACTTGCCATTTTAGAAAGCTGGCTAAATGGTAAAGCAGTAAATGTAGCATGTTAGAGTTTAGACATATCTTTACTCTTTATAGTGAGAATGTTAATGGCGTTCTTTAGTTATGGGCTGCACTGAATTCAGATAAAGTGGGGGGGGGGATTATTACCTGAAAAGTATCTCACGTAATAATTTATCCATATGAAACTCAAATTTCAAATCAAGATCTTTCAACGTAGTACCCTCGTCAATTTCATCTTTCTTTGTAAATCTTCCATGAGATGAACCCTTTAAATCATACCGTCGATGTATGTGTAGTTCAGTGCAAAACATGTTCCCCATGACTACAAAGCGTACCTAACAACAAAATGCATATGTCATTATAGGTCATCTTGAGTACGAGTGTGTCCTTGACTTGTGCTCTTATACATGTTTGTACTATGCAAGGAGCTTTTTGGTGGAAAATACCTACCTTCTTCCCTCTGCTGAATGATATTCGGTGAAGCCCAAAAAATTTTGTTATGAGTGTGTTCTCATGATCTTTTACATGTTTGTAATAAGAAGGGAGCATTTTCAGTAGAACCTGCACAAATATTAAGTAAAAATAATAAAAATTGAAAACCATGCAGTATTTAGAGAGCCTATCAAACTTGCAGCTACCATTCACCTGCTTTAGTAAGCCTCCTTCCCCAACAAGAAATAGGGGTAGAGTAAGTCTACCCAGTAGGAGAGTAGTTCTACCCAGTAACCCCCAGTTGTGCATTGAATGCACGAATCTCATTTAGATCTTAGAATAATTATCAAATCACGGTATCAGAAATGCAGCATTCTTCTCAGTTCTTATACAGTATCTATAATGTGGGGAAAATAATATGTGACTACCCACTATAAACATTAGAACTGTGTTTGGTCTCATGAATAGAACCTATGGTCATGTCCCATGACATGGAGAGTTCTGAGACCCGCATACTGTGACTATAATTAAAGCAATTTTAACTTCAAAAGTCATTTTGTAAAACTATCAGAGAATTCCTAGCTTCATGCCAAGACTAGAGAGATATGAAAATGGTTGGGCATATCTGCATATCCCGTGATAAGCAAAACCTGACCATAAATTTTTACAACCGTCAATGTATGCAAACCTTAAGCTCGGGCTTCTTTAAAGTTTTGATCACAAATCTGTCATCACGAGAAAGATAAAAAATGCTGCCGCTTTTTCCAGGAGATGAAAACTCTCTCAAACCTTCATCACCACAGATGGACATCATGTACTCTGCCGCATTCAACTTGAACAACTCCCTTAAATTCCTGAAAAGTACTGAGTAATTTGTTTACCATACTAGTTGTGAAATCTCATATATGCGTTTTCCATAATCGGATGATTTGCAAGTACGAATGAAGTAAACATTAATAAAAGATTAGTTAAGATTATGTTAACTACCTAAAAACCATAGGGCAATAGTCCTTCCAATAGAAATCAATTGAATAGTGCGGAGGTGTCAAACGAGAGCCTTTTCTAGGAAAGTACATCTTTATTCTAGCCCGCTCTCCAAAATCAGATAGTCTCACTTCCCGGATAGGAACAGGTGTGATCTTCCCCACAGAGTACCTGTAGACTTTTAAGTTTGAACTTGATAGTGATTTTTGTAAGAAGCCATGAATGTGCTGCTTTCTTTATACATAAAGCAAGGAAACAAAAGGAGAGCAAGTGTATTCGAGATGATTCAAATTTTACCTGATGCCAAGCTGCAAATTTAGCATCAGGTAGTAGCTCTTACGGCCATCAAAGAAGTCCATGCATGAAGTTGTTCTTACTTCTTTTACATGAAACTTGCACCTCTGTTTACTTGGGTGGGATAGTCTGGTTACATTCTTAAGCCTTTCTTTTATAAGAACTCCTTGCATGTATTCTCTTTCATAAGCTGCCGTACTATTGTCCAACAAATTGCTTTGAACATCTAGTGAGTTGTGAGATAGCAAGCAGGAGGCATCTTCTGGTATCATTTCTATGGAGCCATCGAGAATCCAGTCACCATCCAGTAATGCAGTCTTTTGCGATATTCTCCCAGACCCTTTTCCAAAGCTAGCAGAGATCTTCTCAGAGAGACTACGCTTTACTTTAGGTCTAACAGATTCATCTGTACTTACTGAAGACCTATGAGACAAAATCCTTTTCATAATATCCTGATGTTTATCAATCTTGCACTTATCCAGAGAGGAAAGCTTGCTTCCAGAAGGATAAAAAGTTCCACGTCCATCTTTTAGGCCTTTAGCCCAAGTTCCAAAATAGTAACTTCCATCGGCAAACCTATAACAGCCAGACCCATGGCTTAACCCGTTCAACCAAAACCCGTCAAATATATCTCCGTTGAACCACTTCATAACACCCCTACCACACATTGTCCCATTTTTCCAATTCCCAATGTAAAAATTCCCATTGCTCCATGCATATCTGCCACTGCCTTCACGTACCCCTTCTCTCCAACAACCATCATAAACATCTGAATTGTGATACTCTTTTCTTCCAATACCATGTTTATTATTCATCCTCCATGAACCTCTGTATATAGAACCATCACGGCCATAAAATGCACCATAGCCATGAAGATAATTTCCAGAAAACTCGCCCTCATAACTTGATCCCGATGACCAAATGATCCATCCTTTACCACTCATCTTTCCTTCTTCCCAATGACCATCATAAACAGTTCCATCTGACCACGTATATTTACCTTTTTCATGTGGAAGCCCTCCCTTAGTAATACCAACGTAAATGTCTCCATTTGGGAAGACCGTCGCATCACTCCTACAGAACAATAGAAGTGACAGTTAACTAACTCAGCATAATCCGTATAGAAGCATATATAATCCATTAAGATGCTTAGTGGTTTTATACCTTTCCATCAATGACCACTCGTAAAATGCCCCAACCGTTTATAGGTGCCTCTCTGCATGCCAATCAAGCCAGGGAAACCTTTAATGCAGGATAAGGTGGAAGCACCTTCATATTCACAAAAGAACAAAACATTGTGTACCATATATTGTCCCAAATTAAAGCAGGACTGCATGGCACTAAATTATTCATCTTCTGAAGAAGATTGACATTGAAAATTCAACAAGAACTTATCACATTGTTCTATGATATCTATAAATAATCTTTAGAAGCCAAAACAATTTAAGTGAGTTAGGATTTCAGTGTTTTGCCTAGCAATTCAAATAGCCAATAGTATAACGTATGAACTGTGTAGTTGATGTCAACCAGAGGAAGAGATATCAATTTGGTTATTAGTCATAAATTCTAAAACTGATAATAGATCTCGAAATCAATACAACAGACATATTCAGGAATCAAAATCCTAAAACTGAAAGAGATCAATGCATTCCTTTATTAACACCTAATTCAAGCAAATACTTGACCAGCATAGAAACTTACTCCAATTAATTCAAAACTGAGTTTAAATATCATCCTTCTCATCCATAAGCAAATGCATTAAATTCTCATTAATCACACAGGTGTCTTGCGTCTTACTCCAACACTAAATCCGAATCCAAAGTAAACTCGTCCACAAGCAAATACAAATCCTTAAAGTCAACAGTTAGATTATTACAAAATGAAAGCAATCATACATTCGAATGCGAATAACAAAACAGCAATGTAATTCAGCACTAAACACACATTTGATATCTCCCGCTAAATATTGACTCAAGTCCAACAACCGACACAACTCACCTCCGAGCCGCACACAGTCGATTTCGGGCCAAAACATGCAGAATCACAGCTCCGAAACCAAAAATTACAGTTCAACTCGGAGAAGATAACCGATCATCGAGCCCCTTCAACTTGAAATGCATTCGAATTTGACATCGCAACTCTCCTCCGATCAAACGAACGGATGTTTGAACAAAGTGTTCGTTCCTCCGTTTCCTACACACACTCGCTCTCTACAATTATCAGTTTCTCTCTCTAAAATGAAAACGCTAACAGGGATGAACAGTACCCAATGATGACCCAAGAGAGAGAGAGACCCGCCTGAGAAAAAGGCTAGCTGTATAGCTCGGATTACACACGTGTTGGATGTAGACGCCTCATTGAGCAGTTTGGGCCCATCACCTTTGCGGCCCAAAATTAGTTTCTGGATTAGGAAAACAGACCGCACTTATGTAACTAGATGACGATCTTTTCGTAATTTTGTCCCTACTAATTTGAAGTCTGATAATTAAAGTGTAATAATGTTTCATATTTTTCCCTTTTCATCTGTTAAAAATGAAACATTTACAAAATTCACAGACTTGTCAAATATGTAAAGCAATGAATTTAAATAATGGTCTCAAATAATTACTCCGTAAAAAATAAAAACTAAAATACATAAATGATAAGTTTGTGTATTTTGTGAGTATTTTGTTTGTGACTCTAGCATTGCTCTTTTTAAAAAAGATTTTATGGTTATTTTTGTTTTTCTCTCATATGCACCTTTATCAATTGAGGTTTGAGGTTTGCTGTGAGTACCCCAACTGGTGTACACTAGTTAGGGTACTTCTAAATTTTTTCTTTTCAATTAAAAAGTTTTACATTTTTTAATCTTCATGCTCGATCAATTGTGGAAAACTAATGTGGATTGTAAGTATTATATTCTCAAAATATTTGTGCAACGTGACCTTTTTGAGTCAAATCAAACAAATTTTAAATCAAGTACACAAGAAGTTTCATCTTAGTGAACCTAGTATATATCATATATATCGTCTTGTTAGATCATAAATCCATTAATAAGTTTTATTTTTTTTATATTAATTTAGCATAACAGCATAAAACTTATGCAAAGTTGTGAAAATGTTAAAATAACCTGCTCATGCAAAACTTTCAAGTTACAAGACCCCAAATTGAAAAAAGGAAACACGAATAATGTACCCCAAATATACACCACCCCACTCTTTACCATTCATTTTATTTTTATTTTTAATCTTTTTTTGAATTTCACTTGCGTTTTTGTGTGGTTATGGAGGGGGTGGGGGATGTTTGGGGTACACTTTTAGTGTACCCCTAGCATTTTCCAAACTAAAATCCTCAAATAATAACAAATCACAGTGAAACAAAATAAGATAGAAACACTTTTAAATTACAAACTTGAATATTGGTTTACAATGCTACCTGTCTTATTTGGCCTTATAGAGTTACAGAACAGAAATACAGAATACATATTGATCAAATAATTGAAAGTGCAAAAAAAAAACTAAAAAATGCATTAATGCTACCCAAAAAAAAAAGAAATATCACTAGTTTTACAACCAGATTCATTTCAGCAACCCAGCCCGAAAAACACTAGCGACTGCTTTTGCTGCTCGTGCGCCTCTTGGAAGAGCTGACGCTTCCGAGGGGAGGGTATTCTTCGCTCGAAGCGAGATTGTTTTGTGCGGGGCCCACACTTCGGTTCCCGCCATTGGTTTCCCGGGATGGTTCTTTGGGCTGAGGACGACGAACCAGAGGGACAACCTTTGACAGCTCTGGGTCTTGTCTAAAGCAGTACGGCAATTTACTTTCGTCCATTTTCCTGAAAGTCACAGAGATCCTGCCATTGAAATTTAGGAGAAAGCAAAGAGTGAGGCCATGTTTGGACATATACTTCACAATTCATCTAAGAGCTACAAGTTCATGATTGTGTTACAGTTAGATTTTCTTTTTTTTAACCTTTTAGAAGGAACGGCCGGTACACAATGCTTTGCAACATCAGCTCCGTTGCCTTGTAGAATGAGCACAGACCTGTATGGCATAAACTCAAAAGTTGATATGAAACTGAAAATATAATCTTTTTTAACAAGTTATTTAAAAAAAATTAAATCTTTGAGAAAATATTTGTGAAAGAATTTGATATTGTGACGATGGATAGCATACCCAACAGGCAGAGGTATAGAAACAGGACCAGAAAATTCTCCGGGGCTGACAATCTTCAAACTTGAGCCGAAAAGAATATTACATTCGGACAAGAAGGAGACTGTACAGAAGGGTCTAACAAAGTCATGGTGGTCAATATGGGGAGGAATGCAGTCGCCCTCGTCATATATGTTGACTATGCAGCTGTTGGGAACACATGTTGGGGGCAGAACGCGAAACCTCACCATCCGTTTGATCATTTTCTTGAATATGGGTGGCAGAGGGTCCACCTCTTCCTCTCTGAGTATGCCCGGAGGGTTACCGTTTTTGTCCTGTTTGCAAAAGATATGAGAGAATGAATCAGTAATGCTGCTGAAATTTTGAAACCAAGTAGCCAAGGGTGTGTTTGGAATCATAGTTTTGCAGATGAGGCGTTCTATCCTCTATGTTTTGATAAATAGAATATTTCTCTTGAGAAACACAAATAATTGGTGACTGTGTTCTTCGACGATCACTTATCAGGCTATTATGTTATTCCTACATTTTGTTTTCATGAAATTTCACATGTAAATACAGAGTATATCAAGATATAAAATTGGCCAAAAACCTTCCACCCAAACGCATCCTATATGACATACCACTGCATAGTTGTAACAGCATCCAAACTGAATCGTTGCTCGCCCCTTACCCCTCATCCATTTTCTTGGCTCAGTATATGTTCTCTCTGCAAAAAAAAATGCAGTTAGTAAGATGATAGTAACCACTTTTTGCATTACCCAAAACAAAAACAAATCAAAAAATTATATGTAATCTTTTTGCATACTGAAAATCTTAGTAATGACAGTTAAGTGGTAAGGAAGCCAAGAAAACTGTATTGAAGCAAAAATCTAAAAGACAAGAGCAGACACCTCTAAGTTGTCCTTGTTGTCCCATACGCTGCAGCTTATAAACAGATTCAACAATCTCCGATTGCTCCGCAGCATTGAAAACTTGGCTATGCAACTCGAGACCATCGAGCACATTTACTTTTCTACCCTCTACCTTCTCGTAATGGACGAAGCCCTTCTTCCTCTTGACTTGTGCCAATCTAATGTGTTCCTTTTGTTCCTCGGATAATCCCTTGTCATCTTGAGATGCTTCTCTTCTACTAAGTCCATCATTAAGGCATATGTCAATGTTTGGGTTACTCACTGGTTTTTGTTTGCAATTAACTGATGCAGGTGATGAAGACGAATCAGAATCGGCTTTCATGAACAGGTTCAAGTAACTCGGTTCATTCCCGCGAGGATTGCCCGGTGGTGGAGATGGTGAATCTAACCTTCTGTCATTGGAAACACAGTCCGATGAGTTGCCCCAAAATAAATCTGTGGTTTCGTTCTTTCCACTGTCAGATAGTGATGATGAATCAGAATCAAACTTCTTGGCCCGGTTCAAGTACTTCGATTCAATCAAATCTGGACAACCCGATGGAACGAATGCGGGAGAATTCCGGTCTAATCTGACACCATTACAACCACTAGAAGCTGCGTCTGATGAATCGACAGAACAGAACTCTGTACTGCCAGCCTTGCCATTATCAGCTGATGAAGATGTTACAGTTGAATTGTCTACAAAGTTAAAATAGAAAGTCACATGAGCAAACATTTAATTATTTTCTGACACACAATAATAATGAAATCTTGCTATATAAACAGCAAAACAAAAAGTTTTTAGGGAAATTAAATCTTTCCCCCCACAATCAATAAACTGAAAATAATATTCATGACTTATTTGAAGAAAAATCTCCAAACTTTAAATTTGATAACTGGGTGAAACAGGACGGGGAAGACGAAAAATCAAAGAACAAAAAAAGATAGCAATCATAAACCCCATAGACAATTACATCAAGACACAATAACATCAATTAAACCCAAAAATTAACAATTACAATTCAATTGCATGAATAAAGAAAAATTCAAAAGGGAATAGATAAAGAAGATAAGAAACAAAAAGATCAGATTTTTTTTGTTACTTTGTTTGAGGTTCTCAATTCGAGTCTGCAGAACTCCCTCGCAGTGTCCGCACAATCCGCCGGACAGAATCTCCAGAATCTCTTCGCGCCCCAGCGACCTGGCCAGATCCATGAAGCTCCTCCGGCCGCCGGAATCCGGCGAGTGTCCGTTAATTGCTCCAGACATGAACAATTCGGCGAGCACGAAGCTTTGCGAGAGTCAAATACAACGAAACTGAGATGGAAGAAGCAGATTTGAAGCTTTAACCAGAGAGGATCTGAGTTGACAGCGAATTCCGGCAATTGTAACGATGGGACTTCAGAATGTGGTCGGGAGCCTGTGGGCGGTATTTATATCAGGGGCGCGGTTCCGGGTTCGGAAATACTTGACCCTGAAGCAACAGTGTTTTTTAGCACTAAAAATAAAGAAATACTGTAAAATAATTGGAGTAAAATTTCCAAAATAGTCATTTCTAATAAGTTCTTTTTCTAAAATAGTCCTTAATAAGAATTAATTGTTAATGTAGTTTTTTTAATTGAGATATATTTTCTAAATAGTTCATTATCAAAAATACAAGTTAAGTGACAATTAAATGAAGAGTATTTGGATATTTTCATAATCTAAATTATGAATAAATTCTCAAAATGATCTTTTCAAATAAAGTGGATAGTAGGGAAAGGACCCACCCCAGGTAGGCTCATGGATTTTATTTCGAGAAAATATTTATTTAGAAATTATCAATTTTGAAAAGACCATTTTTAGAACATATTTTAAGTCTCGATGATAAAAATAACAAAACACATTGCTTTTGACTAAAATTTAAAAGAGAAATTTTTCATAGAGAACTACATACAGAATATATTTAAACTACAAAAGACTACGTTGATAATTATTGTTTTTTGATAACTAATTTGGAAAAACATCATATTAGAAAGGACCCTCTAATATGTTTATTATTGGTAATTATTGTTTATTATAACTTTAGATTATTTAGAATTAGTTAAAAGAATATCATGTAAACAAAATATTTAATAAACGTTGAAGAAAACATTCTAAATAAGAATAAAATATAAAGAAAGATCTCATATTTTAATATTTTTTTTATGTTTTACTCCTATTTAACGTGATTTTTTAACATTTTATTTACATATTATTCCTCTAAATAAATATTAAATAATAAAAAACATTATTTTTAAATTTATAAAGTTATATTCAGGGCTTCAATTATTAAATTGTTGTCCTATTGAATTTAGAAGTTTTTATTATTAATGTATTTTATTTCAAAAATGGGCCAATATGAGGACCGAATTAGAAAGAGTACTATTTTGAGAAATTAGTATAAAGTTTAACGTCATTTTAATGTCGTTTTAACAACCATTAGTCGGGAGCCTGAACTGAGCATTATATTTTTTTTTTGAAACAACTGAGCATTATATTCAATTAACGAGTATCATCTCAAAAATTAGTTAATTTTGAAGACTAATTTAGGAAAGAGCTCGGTTCCATGGCCATTGGATTCCAGTGGCTACGGAATCCACTACCCCTACGGAGCTGCGTTCATAAAATTGATGATTCCTACCCTCTAACATCCTCGGTAAATCCCCTGCCAAGTCTCGACCCAAAATAATCACCCCACCTACATTAAAATTAGAAGTAATACATCAAAATTAGAAATTCGATATGAAGTTAGATACCACGACTCTCTATTTTTTTTAGTTTTATATCTTTTGAATTTGAAGTTAGATTCTAATGATTATCTTTTTATTTCATTAATTTTTCCATTAAATTTGTACACTTTTAGTTATTTTTTCTCATTGTTTGTTATTTTGTATCTATTTTTTTAAGTTCTCTAAGACAGACTAATTTTTTTAAAAAAATAGAAATGATGTAAGTAGAAAATAAAAAAAAATCTAATTTTCATTTTTTTGCACAAAAATATTTCGTTAACCAATTATTATTAGCGACATAAAACTCACAAATTTCAGTCACATTGCAAAGAAAAGATTAATTTTTGAATGATCAAATAAAATAGAAATCATCATAAATAGGACTAAAACATAGATAAAAGTACCAAAATAGGACTTTCATGTTTTTTTCCCGGAATAGGACTTTGCACTGTGGTAATGTGACCTTGCATTGTGGTAATGTGGCAGTGTACATGTTCAAATTACTATGCTTTTTTGGTAATGTATATGACCATGGTTCGTAATGTAAGTCCTATTTCGAGAATAAAAACATGAAAGTCCTATTTTGATATATTTTCAAAGTTTTAGTCCTACTTTGGTCTTTCTCCCCAAATAAAATGAGATTATTTTGAAAAAAATTTGTTCCAAACGAGGACTTCGTTTTCTATAAATTGACTGACTCATTACTGTTAGGATTTGGAATTTGGATATCTCGAAGCAAATCCGAATCCATTCCGGGCAACCATGAACGAAAAGAACAGGAGCTACCCGGAACCCATATCTCCGAGCAAAACTCGAATAGGATGGATCGGCATCGGCGTGATGGGCGGAGCTATGGCGTCCCGCCTCTTATCCGCCGGCTACGGCGTCACTGTCTACGCTCGCACGCCCTCTAAGGCGTCCACTCTGCAAACCCTAGGCGCGCGATTAGCCGGTTCTCCGGCGGAGGTCGCGCGGATCAGCGACGTCGTATTCACCGTCCTCGGACACCCCTCAGATGTTCGACGAATTGTCTTAGAGGGACCGGACTGCATCCTCTCCTCCCTCAACCCTAACGGCGTCGTAGTCGATCACACCAGCAGTGACCCGAAGCTCGCCAGGCGAATTGCCCATTCCGCCCGCGAAATCAACTGCTGGGCGGTCGATGCCCCCGTTTCCGGCGGCGACACCGGAGCAAAAGAGGGGAAACTGGCCATCTTCGCCGCCGGGAACGAAGGTGTCGTGAACTGGTTGAAGCCGTTATTCGACTTGATGGGGGATGTGACGTACATGGGCGGACCCGGAAAGGGGCAGAGCTGCAAGATTGCGAATCAGATCACAGTGGGAGCAAACCTGTTAGGGTTGAGTGAGGGTCTGGTTTTCGCAGAAAAGGCTGGGATCGATAAAGGCGAGTTCTTGGAGGCGATTAGGGGTGGGGCGGCAGGGTCGATGGTAATGGAGTTGTTTGGGAAGAGGATGGTGGAGAGGGACTTTAGGGCCGGCGGGTTTGCGGAGTACATGGTGAAGGACATGGGAATGGGGGTGGGTGTTGGGGCGGCGGCGGCGGAGGAGGAGGAGGAGGAGATGGTGGTGGTGTTGCCTGGTGCAGCATTGGGGAAACAGATGTTTGCAGGAATGGTGGCTAATGGAGATGGGAAGCTTGGGACTCAAGGGCTTATCACTGTGATAGAAAGGCTTAATTGGAAGTGAGACTGAATGAATGAATGAATAATGTGTGGAAGATGATGATGATTGCAGGTTCCATATGTATGTTTTCTTCATATGAATGAATGAATCATTTGAAGCTTTTCATCTTCTTCCTTTTATGAACATGAAGTTTTTCATGTGAATTGCTGTTATGGTTGAACAAGAAGCTTTGTGTTGGGATTGTGTGCACTTTAAATGTGGTTTATGAAATGCTTGAGCATATTTTCCAATTTAAAGATGTAAAATGAACAAATTCTGAAATGTACTCCAAAAATATGCCATCTTCTGTCGTGGGGAGTTACACAAATGCCCTCCATAAAAGAAGTTCACAGGTTGAAAAAATCTTGCATAGGATTCTTTCTCATTATTAGTGATGGATGTATTGGGCCAAATGACTTCAAGTACAAACCAAGATCCACTTCTAATTCTAATCTTGTGTGATATTTACTACGTACTTTATTCTCATGCTTTCACTAATTATTTGATGAAATAATATAGTCATGTCATCACTAATTTTGCAGATTTTTTATTGTTTTTTAATTCTACAATATTTTTTACAAAAAATAAATTTAAAAAAACTTTAGTCTAATATCGTAAACCGAGACAGATGATTTAAAATAAAATGGGAGAGTACTTAATTTTACCTCCCACCTAAGCGATATACAAGTCATTTTAAATGATGACTTTGACAATTTTTATGTGTAGTTGACAACAAAAAAAGATAGAAAAATGCTAGAAGTACACCAAAGGTGTATCCCATTTGTCCCCCACCCCTCCATAACCACTCAAATAGGCAAGAAAATTAAAAAAAATTAAGTAAATAAAAATCAAATTGAAATGAGTGGTAATAGAAGGGGTGGGGTACAAATGGGATACACCTTTGGTGTACCCCTAGCATCTCCCAAAAAGATAAGAAAAATGGTAGGGGTACACAAAATGTGTACCCCATTTGTCTTCCACCCCCTCCTTGTCCACAAAAAAAGGCAAGAAATTCAAAAAGAATAAATAAATAAAAAGAAAATAAAAATGGGTGGTGAAGAAGAGGGTGGTGTACATTTGGGGTACACCTACACTATGTTTGGTTCAAGGAATTTGAGAGGGAAAAGAAAAGAAAATTAGAAGGAAAATATTTTTCTTGTTTGGTTAGAGAGGAAAGGAAAAGAAAAGTGGAAGGAAAAGAAAAAGAGAAGGCAAAATGTACTAAGAGGAAGGAAAACCAAATTCCTCCCATTTTGGTGAGGAAAATGAGGGAAAATCATTTTCTTTTCTTTTCCTACCAAATTCCTTGAACCAAACATAGTGCTAGCATTGCTCAAAAGATAATACGGAGTACTCTGTATATCAATTGCAAAAAATTATGGGCCTAAAAACTCTATGTTACAAATTATGTTAATCGGACCATGCCATTCATATGGGCCTAAAAACCCAATGTTTTCTATCTCAAAAGAGATGTGTTGCAGTATCATTTTTGTTTTTCAACTTGAGGGTATACTCCCTCTACCCTTGAATATTTGTTCACTTATGACTTTTTTTTAGTCAAAATTATTTCGGAGACAATAGGTACATTTAGCCGGATTACTTAAATTGTTGAACTTTCAAGTCTATTAATGATCAATAGTTAATATCTATTGTGACATTACATTTCAACAAAACAACTCAAAATCGACTCAAGCTCATACCATTGCTTCCAATCGGACTGATCTAATGCTTGACTCACCCATTTCTGTTCTAATCGGCTAGATCAATTTCGTAACATTTATAACTAAAATGCTACGAAAAATATTAATGGCACTCCATTTTCAATTCACCTTCTCACAAACAACCGATCAAAGAGTGAACACGACACTACATGCTCGTTTTACAGACAAGTGCGACATTTGTAGTTTTCGAAATCAAAACAATGATTGAACCAAGTGAGTCACTAGTGCATTGTACAACCCTCTGCGGTTCAATCGGATTTTCAAAATACTATTTCAGCACGTAATTTTTACTACCAAGTAAAATTTTATGTAGTCATAAGCATCATTAGTACTTAACAGTAGCTAATTAAGTTCAGGCTTGAAGGCTTATTAAATAAACACCATTGTTCAAACACTTGGAAGTTATTCAAGTCATTCTTAGTACCTAGAGTTAGACCATCCCAGGGGCAGCAGGGGCACGGGCAGCAACGCCTGCAGGGGCAGTGGACTCCCTAGAGCCCCTAGAGCTCAAGAGGACAAAAACGGATGTCCCAGTGGCCAGAGCACACACTAGAAAAAAAATTACATTAGTTTCATACTAAGGACATATTTTACAATATTTTTTTCATGTACACAATTGAAATGTATGTTGTTTCAATATTATGTTACTCACCATAGCATCCAAATCTGGTTAGAGCCAGATTCTTCTTCATGAGGTACTGCCTCTGAACCAGTGCCCCTTGTATCTTATGAAGTTCATTCATTACTGCCTGCGATTCTTTCACAATCTCGTGCATGATACTCATCTAAAACATTTAAAACCAATACTCAGATCATCTAATACTAAAAGGTGACTTTGTTCCTCTTAAAACAACAGAAATGGCCAGATTTTCTCCTTAAAAACTGTGATTTCCAGAAAATTATAACAAGATAGTCCAAGGAGCGAATAAACATCGAATCCGTGAGATGAATATGCATTATTTTAGGTTTAATCGGCAAAAATTTGGGAACAAATAGGGAGCAGTAAAACAAAGAGGAAAAAAATTCAATTACTGCATGTTTATAGAGAACACAGGTTTAATCAAGTGCGTGCTGCACAAAGTTGGGAACAAATAGTGAAATTGAGAAGAAAAAAAAGGGAATTTCAACAGAGAAAAAATGCCATTACTGCCTAAAAGAGTGCTCGCGGCGTAAAATTGAAAACAAATATCAGAATAAAGAAGAAGACGAAGAATAAGTAGATGACATACCGTAGAAGATCTTCAAAGGTCGGTCGGGTGGATTCGGAGACTTGCAGAAGACGACGGGATCTGAGGAGTTGAAGAGAAAGAAGGCGACGGAGATTTGAAGATGAAGAAAGGGGATTTGATGAATAAATACGCCTGGTGGGATAAGTGATGGGCTGGGCCCGGCCGAGCCGATTGGGAAGCCTCTCACAGTCTCACACACTTAACACAAATTAGGAAAAGTTAAATTTTTTAACGGTGAAGGTTCCATTGTTAGGTTGAGTACGGTGACTTTGGTGTCATTATCATTTCCTGTCACTTTTCGTGTTTCGTTTGTAAAATTGATTGATCATATCCCTTAAACTCCTTATCACATACGGAGTATTCACTCCAGCTCCCCACCCCAGCCCCTTTCCTCCCCTATAGGAGGACTAGGGTGAGGGAGGCTAGGGTAAGAGGTCTAGGGGTAGTTAGAACAAATTGGAACCATCAATTTTGTAAACAGAGCATTGATATTGCCCAAAATGGACGAGTATCAAATCAGACCATACCAAATCAGAAATAACTTTAAATATAACTACCTTCAGATCAGATCAAATTAGAACATATTCCAAATAGATCTGTTAAAGAGAACATTTCTTTATTTTTTGGGAGAAATACGAAAATAGCACTTTAATAGGACTTTAATACTCTAAATAGTAGTGCTATTAGTTTTTGAGATGAATTCCCCTTTTTGTCCTTAAATAAAACCTAAAATTGAATTCTCCTAATTAGGTTAAGAAAAAGGTTTTGGGGGCCAAACGCAGTAGCTTAAACGCAGCAGCATCACACTACCTAAATGCAGCAGCATCACACTACCTAAACGCAGCAGCAACACACTGCCGAACGCAGCAGCATCACACTACCTAAATGCAGCAGCATCACACTGCCTAAAACTGAATTCTCCTCGGACGGCGTCACACTGCCCAAAGCAAGCCGAATGCAGCAGCTTCCGGAAGGAGACCCAGGGTTTCAATGGCAAGCAAAGATGCACTGGATGAGATCCCTCTAAGCAAAAGATTGGAGAAGATACAGGTATGCTTCGTTTTGGTAGTGAATTTGCTTCTAAAAAATTTTCTCTTACAAAGTTTAGAAAAAGTTTTTTTTCTGATTGGCAGGGGGTTTTGTTGAAGGTTCATTGCAATGTGTGTTTTAATTTTCTGCAGTGTGTTTTTTGTTTCCCTTAGGTTCTCTGCATGGTGTTTTAGTTTTTAAGGTTGGCAGTGTTTTTTTGATCAACGTAATGAATTTTTTTGGCTTTGTTGAACTCGTTTAGGGTTTTTTGTAAATGTTAGACGTAATTCATTGCTTTTTTTTTGGGTTTTCGTTTTTTGGGTTTTTCGTTTTTTGGGCTGTGTGAATGTAGTGTGTTTCCCTTATTTTTGGGCAGTTTTTTTTAATGGCGGGATATACTACCTAATTGAAACGATTTTTAGTCAGTGATGTTTTTACAGGACAAGGAATACTGCCTAATCAATATGGATTTCGGCTGCGTGTTTCTCTTATTTTTGGGTAGTTTTTTTAACATGGCAGGGTATAGTGCATAATCCATAAGGTTTTTGGGCAGTGTTGTTTTTACAAGACAGGGTACACTGCCTAATCAATATGGTTTTCGGTAGTGTGTTTCTCTTATTTTTCGGTGGTGTTTTTTACATGGGTCATGTAATAGCATAATTGTGGTTTTTTTTATTTCAACATATAGAGATTGTAATGTATTATCTTGAATTGAAGAGCATTCAATACACCTTGATCCAGACGTACACAACAGCTTCACCTTATTTCTTGCAGGACTCAAGACACACCAGGAAATGGTAGACGTCGGAAAGGTGAAAAGGGAGTATGTGATTGATAATTCAAATCTAACAAGTGAGGTATTAGGATTAGCGCGCGAATATGCGAAGCCTTGGAGTGAATGTAATTTTGTATATATGCATTTGAACACTAGAACCACTAGATGTTACTTGTGTTGGAAGTTGAAGGAAGGAAGATAATGGTTTGTAATTGTAAAGGAAAGAAAGGCCAGACAAGTAGGGAAATCATTCCATACGTGCATGTTTTTACGTTATGCCCCAAATTCAAACACCGTGTGCATCTTTGCTTTCTACGCCTCTGCCCTATTTGAAATTCACCAACTGATGGAAGTCTCCTCTTCTTTAGTCTACCCGGAGGACGCTTATTACAAGATGGAGGCTTGCAAATCACTGATGGAATCTTTGATGGAATCTTCATCTGAGCCATGCAACTTAGTCAATGACTTCTGTTTGACTAGTAAAGCTTTCCTATATGACATTGAAATGTCATATTCCCATCTCATGTCCTCACGTAAGTCATTAGGAGGGTGTGATTTCTTGGTAGCGTCTACATAACGATGAAGGATTATATCAGCTACAAATGACGATGTTGCCTGTCTGTGATTGGAATGAAGTTCCAACTGGGACCTCAATCACTGTGTTATACTTTGAAGTAAAGCTTCTATGAGTATCCCATGTCCCATCAACACGTAGCAATATCATCAAATTTGAACCCATCTGTGATGCTCCATCTAAATAATAAAATAGAAAACATTATTCAATGGAGCACCTTTGTTTTTAATACAATTATGCTAACTACTTAGACAAAATTAAGACATTCTCTACTATTTACATTTTCAAATAAATAAAACTAAAAATGCAGGACAAAATTTTGCATTAAATCTTCACACTGCCCACACCATAACACCTAATCTTTACACTGCCAAAATCACAATGCGTTTCAAAAGACCTAATCTTTCAAAAGGGACAAATACTTGGTATTTCAAAATTGATTTCACAGCACATAATCTTCAATATGAAGAAAACACAATAATTAAAACTGAAAATATAGGAAAATTCCAATAAAAGGATGCAAGACAAAATTTTTACATTTAATCTTCACACTGCCCACACCATAACACATAATCTTCACATTGCCAAAATCACAATGTCTTTCAAAAGACCTAATTTTTCAAAAGGGACAAACACTTGGTATTTCAAATTTGATTTCACAGCCCCTAATCCTCAATACGAAGAAAACACAATAATTCAAACTAAAAATACATGGGAATTCAAATAAAAAGGATGAAGGAATGAAATTTAAAAATTGAAGGATAAGAGAAATTGATTAGGGACATCGAAGATTAGCACGGGAGAGAACCTGATGATTGCCGCTGCTGATCGGCCAAGGAATCCTGGGCGAAGGAGTGGGGACGCATAATCGCCGGCGAAGGGAAGGAGAGAGCGTGAATCGAGATCAATTACGTGCAGGGAGTGCCGTAATTTTTAATGAAAAAAGAAAAAGGGGTAAAGGGTATGATAGGAAAGGGTTGACACCATAAATTGCTAAATTTGTTAAAAACAATGAGTAGTGCTAAATGCGTATTTTAGGGCGAGTTAGAGTGCTATCTAGGGCGATTTTAAATAAGAGTTAAAATACCAATGCTAATGATGTAAGCATAAATACCAAAAAATATTACTCTCTCCGTCCCCAATTTGATTACGAATTGAGGTTTACGAGGAAAAATATCTCAATTTTTGAAATTATTTTATTTACAAATTGGTATACCAATAAGAAATAAAAATTACATATTAAAAAAATGCGTCAGAAGTTTTACAAAACAAAAGAAGATAAGAATATTTTATTTTATCAAATATTAAATGAAATCGCGTAAACAAACAAACGTTATCGAGAGCTGAGAAAAAAAAATGTAATTAAATTAGGGACAGAGGAAGTACAAATGTCAATATAAAATACTAGATTCCTATCATGTAAACTTTTATTTTAAGAATAAAAATATAAAACTTTTATTTAGGTACTTTCTTGATAATTTATTTGAGAATGATGTGTTCTAAATTTTTATTGATAATTTATGTGCAATAAAAAAGTATCTAACCCCTTGGTTCCCATGACATTGGGAACCATTGTCTTGGGATGACCCGGGGCTGCTCCGGTGTCCCATTCGTAAAATTGACAGTTCTAACCCCCCTAACCTCCGGTAAATCCCCCACCCCGTCCCGACCCGAAGACACTCACACCCCTTCAATTGCATCCCACAAGTTGATTTTGACTTTGGAGTCAAAATTTGACTTCAAAGTCAAAATCAACTTGTGGGATGCAATTGAAAGGGGTGGGGGGTGTGTTCGGGTCAGGGCGGGGAGGTTTACTGGGGGATTAGGGGAGTGTATGAACCATCAATTTTATGAACGGGGCACCGGAGCTGTCCCGGGTCATGCCATGACATTAGTTCCCAATGTCGTGGAAATCTTGCCCATTTTTAGAGTAAATTCCATAATTGATCCTTTATAACAGTGGGGTTTCCCTATTTAGTCTTCAATTATCAAATATTACTCCAATAGTCCTTCTTTTATAGGTATCTTTCCATAAATGATCCTTTTTTGATCTTCTATCATGTTAGTGTTAATTTGAAGGCTAAATATATAATTTGACATCAACATTATGTCTAGTGACGTGTTCTGATATTGGGTTTGCGGATAACACAAAAATAATGACTACGATTGTGGACTAGAATTCCAACGAAAGACTATATTTGTAGACTATGTTTGTAGTAGAAAGCGGCCGTAATTCACAAACTACGCAAATGGAATAGCTTTTGGAATTGTGTATGACAAAAAAGATATATTATCATTGTTAAATTACACATTTAGCCCTCAAATTAACACCAACATGATAGAAGATCAAAAAAAGGACTATTTGTGGAAAGATACCTATAAAAGAAGGACCTCTATGATAATATTTGATAATTGAGAACTAAATAGAGAAATCTCCCTATTATAAAGGATTAATTATAGAATTTACTCCCATATTTATTTAGAAACTTTTTTCCCAAATTTTTTGGTAAAAACACAATGGCGGCTCGCCTTCATCCAAATATTTGAATTTTGAACCAAGCATTTGGCTCTCTTCTCCTTCCCATTTGCAGGCAAAAACGCTGTGGTGAGAAATCACGAAATTGGCCGGAGAAACAGCTGTTCTGTCTGCAAACAGTCGGCCAGTCTACAAAATTGGCCGGTGAAACAGTTTGTCATTCCGGCGGTGGGTTCATCAAACTTTGAATCAGAGAACAAACAGTTGGTCTGCAGCTTGCCTTTGCTTTCCGCAGGTAACAAATCTTTCTGGCGGCGGAGAAAATGTCGTCTTTTAAGTACCCAGACATCACCCGGGCAGAGATCGTCGGCTATCTAGCTCTTTTCGGATTCGACATCCCCATAGGCGAGCATGATCTTCTCAATCCCCCTCTAGAACTGGTCGAAAATCTCTACACCTTCCTTCTCGGCTACTTGGATTTGCTCCAGTAAACTCCATATTTTATCTGTTTTTATTCCTCCACCGGAGTTACTGTTTCAGACTCAATTTGCGTGTGAAATTCTTGAGCTTTTGTGTTTGGCAGGGAGGATGACGGGCAGGCTGCATTTGGGGCCTTACAGGTCTTCGACAACCCAGAGCTCCACGCTTCTGCGATCCCAATGATGAATTTTTATGAGAAGGTAAGAGGGTTGTTGGGTGCTATCGAGTGCCCCGAGAGGTTTACACTTAGGGATTTGATTAATCCCGATCCGGATCGCACAAAGCTCTTTCTTGGTTCTATTCTTAACTTCTGCGTGCACAGGTACATTTTTCTTGTCCGTGCTGCAACTCTCTCTAGAGTGTTAAATGAAATTGAATTTTCTTGTGATGAATAAATTCAAGCACCCTTGCTTATTTTCTGGTATTACATTCCAAGAGGCTTACATCAGTGAGCATGAGAAGGGTATATGATTCCATGGGAGGACTAAGGTTAGAGTATTTGGGTAAACTTACGGGCCTTAGTTTGTGCTCTTGTGCTTTGGGTTTGCAGTGTTGGTATGAGTGATTCCTTAGTGAGTGTTATTACTTTGTTTGTGTTAGTGTCCTTTGTAACATATGTTTGCCTATTTGCTCATGCTTTTATGTTTGAGCTGATGTGTTTTGGAAATAATATCTCTAATATCAAGTAGGGACTTTAATGGTTCTGTTGTTGTTGTATTGTATAACTCTTAGGAAAGTCAAAATGGATGAACTGACATCATTAGCAGATGAGTTGAATGCTTTCTTTGAGCAAAAAGAAGCGCTAGAGGAGAAAATATCCCAGGTTTATCTCCAATCTTCATACTGAATTAGTTTGAGGAAAATGGAAACAAAGTTAAGATATGAAGTTACTGATCCACCCTCCCACAGTTGAGTGCAAAGATTGCTGAATGCAATGAATCGAGAGAGAAGGAGACACCTTTTGTGCAAGAAGAGGATGCTAAAGTTAGGGGATTGAAGCAGGCTATCTCTGGTCTTAACAACCATCAGCTGACCTTAAAGTCTGAAACAAAGAAGATGAAGGAGAAGGCACATGAGTTGGATGAGCAGGTTTGCAGATGTTTTGTTTATTGTTTGATGTGTTTCTACGGCTACAACTCTACCAGACCTTAACACCAGTAATCAAAATGAAACCCAGGGCTATAATTTTCATGATGCTAAACGGTCATAACACTTTTACTCTGTCTCCTGTCACCTCCTCGGGTCCTCCTATGTCAATGTAAATTCAGTTATATCACCTTCCAGCCAAGGAGTCGGTAGACCTTGGTCTGAAGTTAAACATGTTCAAACCATCTTAGCCTTCTTAAAATCTGCAACATCAAGGGTGAATATTCTGTTTTTTTTGTTTTACTATAATGTGCTATACTTTGGCTTACTACATTTAATTTTCTGTTTTAATATGCTTCATCTTTTATTCCAAAGATTTCTAGTGCTGATTTTGCTTTGTTGGAAAGTGTTCGTGAAAATGGGGAGTTACGGTCCAAAATTGTTCAATCTCCGGACAAGCTTCAGGTATCAACATGTCTACTTATCGCTTAGTATCTGATATCACTAACCACTTCTTCATTTTATATTTAATTTTTGACCAAAACATTATTTCTTCACTTTACAATTTCATAGAGGGCCCTAGAGGAAAAAAGGTCTCAACAGGCTGAGGCAAACAATGCAGAAAGGGCAGCAATGAAATCCTTACAGGATAAGAATGCTATTCTTGAGATGTATGCAAAGGTATGCTTTGCAATCATTCAGGCACTTTTATTATTTAAATAAGACTTCTTCTTCTCTTTTTTTGAATAAATGTGTTCAACACTAGTTTTTCTTACAAGTGTCTGCTTAAATTCCAGAGCCCATCTTTAAAACAACAATTGTGCACATTTTGAAGCATGGACTTACAATGCCGTGAAGCATGGGACTATGGGTTCTATTTGTTCTTGCTATTTTAAAAACTCTGTTTAGATTTTGAAATCAATCATACTCTCATCCGTCTGAAAAAAATTTAACTATTTATTTTGAGTTTTGACTGTCACTTAGTTTAAGGAACGTGTTAAAAAGTAAAAAGATTTTGCTTAGAATTTGTTTAGACGAGAGAGAAATCCTCTGGATCACGTGTTCATTGCAAAAAACAAAAATAAAGTTGGACGTGTTTTAGGGATGTCCATAAAGGTAAAGCGGGTATATATATTTTTGGGACGGAAGGAGTATTATGTATAAACTTTAGCTATATGGAATCGTATGGTAAAATTGTGAAAGGTACTTGTAATTGTGTTGAAATTCCAGTTTTTAAATAGGATTCTTAAGTTGGATTGTTCATTGCATATACAATGTCATCTTCAAACAACAACCCAATAAAATCCCACAAACAAGTGTATTGTATATTACATGAATTCTCTGTGAATGATTTTATCATCAAACAAGGAGTCTTAACCGTCCCTGAAGAAACAAAACAAAGTACAAGAATGAGAAGTTTATGTTCTAGTTGACTTTGAAATCCCATTGGAAATACTTCATACTCTAACTGTGCGTAAGACACAGCATTTCCACAGTATTTCATCTCCTTTCTATTTTTCCCTCTCATCACCAGGCTCAGAAGAAAATGTCTAAATCGTTGGAGCAGATGCTAGCTATACAAGAGCAGGTTTGTTGGCATTGATGTGCCTTTTTGCTTTTCCATTTACATGTTCTTATTTAACATACATTCTAGTTGGCATTCATGGGTCTGAATGTGATGCTTAAAAAGTGTGGATTTTGTGTGTCATTGCATACTTTTCATACACTGGCTCTGGGAGGCCGCACACGTGGGGAGGGTATATTTTCTCAGACTTTACAGTACCTAACAGATGGAGTTGATGTTACCGAAAGACAATAAAATACACTAATATAGTCAAATATTGATATAATGGATTAGAAGAAAATGGATTTGAACTCAATAACTCTATTTAGATATTCGATCAAACTCATTTTTTATTTCATTCATATTGTATAGAGATTATTTTTTTAAGAACTTAGTTAACCCAAAGTTTAGAGGGAAAAGCATTTATTATAGACATTAAGTCATTAACAATGATAACAACTTTCCTCAGTAATTCATTCCATTACCCTTGCATTTTTTTGAGATCCAAACATTATCTTAGTGGTTACACATCTGTATAAATTTAGGTGAATTCAGTTAAATCATCTGAGAAGGAAATAAAGGCTCTCAAAACTAAGCAGAGTGAAGATAAATTGTTAGACAAATCACTCGATGCTAAACTGGTTGAAATGCAAGGGAAAGGTAGCTCCACCCATCCACTCTTTGATTCATTGTTTTTATGTTTTTATTGCACTCACTTATGATGTTATTTGTTGTTGGGAAAGTGGACCACTTGGAAGAAATGAAAAGGAAAGTAGAGAAAGAATGTGCACACGCCCGCGAGGAGGCTATGAAAGAGCTAAACAAAGTGAAGTTTGAAGTCGAGTCGTTTAGGCGTGGTCTTGAGCAGAGGCAAAAACATGTTGAAACGGTCATTGCTGAGGTGCCTCTTTCTTTTTTTGTGTACTATTAACTCTATTACAATGCATTATATGTCCATACTCACTTTCTCAACCTACTAAAACACAAAGAGTCAATACTCCCACTGAGATTTGAACCTATGACCTCTCATTTGTGTGTGCTACTGTGTTTACTTTTTTTGTGATGCCATGTTGAGCCTAGAGTCTCTGAGAAACAGCCTCTCTACTTCCGAGTAGGAGTAAGGACATAAGGTCTATGTACCCACACCCTCCCTAGACCCTAATGTTGTGGATTTTACAAGGTTTTTTGTTGTACGTAGTATGTGTGTATGCATGTATGATGTATCATGTATGTGCGTATGTTTGTATGTATGTATGTTTGTATGTCATCAAACTTGAATTAGAGGGTGGCTAAAATACAAATGTTTCCCAAATCAGGGGGATGCTGTGAATGCAAAGATTAACTCAGTGAGAGAGAGTGGAGCAGCCAAGTGCCAGCAATTGAAACTTAAACTCGAGGAGGTCGAGAAACAGGTACTCATATTTCATTTCTATCATGGAACATGTTTGGAAAAGAGGAGTTTATAGATTTAAAGATAGAGTAGGAGTCACTCGACTTGCTCATAAGATAATTATAACTAATTTGATAGACTAGTTGGAACCACCCACCATCCTCTCTTTAACGTTCTGGTTGTCGTTGTTGATTCGTTCATTAACTTGTGTTTTTCACATCTTAGGCCACTACAACAAGTTTGCACATTTTATTTACTACAATCTATATGTTTTTTTAATTCTAATCTCTTACAAAATAGACTCTTCTTAATTCCCTTCTTTATGTGTCATGGCGCTTGCAGTTTGCAGTGTACTCATACAAACTCGACAATGCGTTGAAGCGCTATGAAACCGAGTGAATGGACCAAGGTAAGAACCCCCACTGACAACCGATTGCTCTGTGCATAATTCTTCATCAGCACTCTATATAAAACAAGCTGTTTTTGGCAAGTTCTTGACACAATGTACTCTGTAAGAAAGCACGAGTCCGTAAGTTTAATGTATCATTTTGATTTAAATTATAATATAAACTATATTAATGATGACACTTTCTAGCTCCATTGGTAAATAAAACTAAAAAAAATGCTTCATGTAACCTTGCTTAAAATGCTTCTCTACTATACATTAGTGTTTAGCTGTCTATTGAGTTAGAAGAAAGAGAACATTTGAGGGGGTTTAGGGCCTATTTCGTGAGCGAAATAGGAACGATATGAGATGTGTTTTAAAATTTGTAAGAATCTGTTTGGATTTTGACATTTAAAATGAAGGTATTGAAAAGATTCTAATATTGAGAGATATTATATTCTTGTCTATAAAATTCGGTTCAATTTAACTCTTTTCTGTGTTTTTGTACCATTATGTGAGGGAACCTGGGGAGCGATTGTTTTTATCAATTTTAATTCTCCTTTAGCTAAACAACAAGTCGAAAATTAGTTATATAAGGAGTATGCATAGAATGAAGAATAGAAATGGATTTTAATTTAAAATCTACTGCAGACTTGCAGTTTTAAATGACGATAGGGGATGGGTAAAATGGGGAGTGCACATGATTTTTAAACTATACTCGATATCTAGTCCCTAAATGTTTATCACATTTTAAAATTGAGGCAAAATGTTATGTTTTTTTAATTTTTTTTTAATATAAATATTGGTACAGAAATAAAAATAAACTGTTTATATTGTACTGGCTAAAAAAGCGTTAATTAATGAAATGTCAGCGGTTAGAACGTTTCAGAGGGAGAATTATTTTAGACTCCTTTATCCTACATAATTTTTCTGCTTTTTTCTTACCCATCACAAAATATATATATTTTTTTGTTTTTATGACATGATACTCCTTTATCCTACATAATTTTTCCGCTTTTTTCTTACCCATCACAAAATAAATATTTTTTTGTTTTTAAGACATGATACGTGGTCTAAAATATTTCCTTATATAAAAAAAAATTGGCAATTATTTCACTAATAATTTCAACCCTTTCTTAATATCAGTGAAGTCAGGATGGGATATTCAAAGATGAGAAAGTAGGTGCAAGGGTAGTATTCCGAGATGCTCAAGGCGAAGTGGTGGCCGCGGGCAAGGAGTAGGCGACAGAGTGGTTAGACGTGCAAAAAAACATAATTTGCTTATTTTAGAGAGACTAAAAGCATATTTTAGGCTTTCAGAATTCAGATTATTTTGCTCAACAAATGGGCCCTAAATATGTTGCCAGGGTTCAATTACAAATACATATCTCCCTCACCCAAACTAAACATTCCTAGTGTAGCCTGTAGGTGTGGAACCAGAAAGTCCAGAATCCATACTTTTTTAAATAATAAAAAAATTATACTTTGTATAATCATATACCATCAACCAACCATAATGAAAACAGATACAGATATACTCTATTTAAAAGGGGGAAAAACTTTCCAGCTCAATTACCTTTACCCAAAAGTTTGCCATGATAATACTCCGTAGTTAGTACAACCGTTAAAAACATATATTTCAGCCAAACACACCCTATACTCAAAATGCTGCCCATCCCGATGCCGCCACTGTTGTTGTTGCTGTTTTGCTAGATCGCGATCCAGTTTCCGATGGCAGGCTCTCCTGCAGTTGTCCAAACAAATCACAGTAATATGACGAATGTCGAGAGAGCATAAAAGGAAGTTTTTTTACCCCATTGAATCAATTGGAAATAAGGTGGCATAGGCGCAAATTAATGCACCTTTATTATGGGTTGTGTTAAGGGTACATCAACAAGATGTGTATCCTACTTGTACATCAAGTATTGTCTCTGTGTGTTTGTGATCACACTTGTGCAAATGTCCAAACACACTATTGTTGTGTATGTGTCTGTGGTACATTGGGTGTACAAATCTTGGTGTTGTACCCAGACACTGTGGACAGGTGCCATATAACATCATCTGTCCATTTGATGGCCCTACGATTTTTCATCCAACTGCAAAGTGGTTTCTAACTCCTAATCCCCCCCACGAACACCCGCCCCTAGTAACTCAATTAATAAAAACAGTGCAAATTATGGAGTGAAGATCTATGAATAAATGTCTATAACCTAAGTCCCTCCCCCCTAGCCCAAGTGGCTTTTAGGGCAATGCCAATATCACATCTAGTCATGGCACCTTGAACCGCAACTATCTGCAAACTTATCTTGCTCTTCTTATTCAAACACACATCTATAGATATACTCCACACAACACTCTAATTGGCAAAGTGGAACTACAAAACAAAAACAACCAAAGCTAGACAAAACGATGAAGGCAAAACAATACCTTGATCAAAGAGAGATTTGATAAAGGATCGGTGGAACGGGTTGCACTGCCCATAGACACCTTGTCTGCAACACCCTGAGTGGAAGAAATCTTGCGCGAAATGGCAGGGTCATTTGGAGGTGGTGGAAGAGGAGATCTGATTTTTCCGGCCACACTTGGTGGTGGTGCAATGCTTAGTGTGTTGATTTTCCCAGTTCCAGATAGCCCACTAGCCAACCCAGCAGCTGAAAGCATCCCTGCTCCACTAGAAGGTTTGTTCTTCACATTTATTCTTATTGTTTCTCCTTCCTATGAACAAAACTATTGAATTTGTTACTCAAATGCAGATCAAGAACACACTTTTCCACATAACTATAACAACAACCCAATATAATCCCAAGTCTGTGGGGGTCCAAGGGGGTCAAAATGTACGAAGTCTTACCCCTAGAAAACAGAGCCACTACCTGCAGTATTTAAACAGGCCAGACACCATCTTATATAAGATAATCACATAGAGAAGTCCCAAAAGTGTTCACCAAAGACACCATCGTATGCAATATTTTTTGTTCACCAAACACTAGGTTTAGAAACTCCATACCTGAGGTATCTAAACCCATAAAGGTTTTGCTCAGGAAAGACACCCTCAGTGTGTTACCAGTTTCCCATAACATAGAAATTGGAAAAGAAACTTTTTTTTTTGACAAATAGTAAACAATTAAACATACACGCATAGACATTTCACAATTGGATACACAAAGGGGCTGATAATAATATACTTCCTCCACCACACATTATTTAACCAGATGAACTTTGATCATCCATTAAATGAAATATAATTTTATTAGATTTATTTGCAAAAGCTTTCAAAACTCTATTTCATTGTGAACTGGTTGTCGAATTTCGCCCAATTTTACACAAAGAAAAAAAAATCAAATTTTGGTATTTCATTTTCATCTCTTTTACTTGGGCTTCTGAAAGCTAGCAAACATCAAGTTGACAGTTATGGAGAGTGCAGAGTGGACGGAAACAATCAGTATGAGCAAGGAATGAAAATTCTGGAAGCTGTAAAATTTCTGACCTTTAAGCGATGATTTACAGCAGGATGAATACCAATATGACTGCCATCGGAATCGCTGATCTGACCATGGCCGCCCTCCTTCTCGTGATCTCTCTTGACGTACTTATCGTGATCGGACAATGCGACATTGAAATCAAAAGCCTCATTCCGCTCGTTAAACCCTAGCCCGACGAACGCGTGCTTGCCGCGGCCATCCTCGATCTTCAGGACGAAGTACCTGGAAGAGTCGAGCACCGACTCGACGGAGGTTTCCCTCTGGCCAGGAAGCACGAAGCACGCGGCGAATAGCTCGCCGGAGTTGGGATCCTCGAGGCGGATCTCGCAGCGGTCCTTGCAGGACACGACCCGGAGGCGGCCGGACCAGATCTTGTCGGACTGAAGCCACTCGCCGCACTTGAAGCCGCCGCTGGTGGGGCGCGGCGGGATTTTGAACACCGACACCTCGCGCACCACCAGGAGCGTGTGCTCGAACGACTCCTCGTCCTCTTCAAACGACATCGTTCCCCTTCCCAGCAGCAGCAGCAACAACAGATTGCTTCAGAAAGAAAAAAAAAAAAGAAGAATGCACAACTGTAATTGAAGCTTGTTTGAACCAGATCAAACCTGAGCTTCAGATCCAAATATGATGATGATGATGGTGGTGAAATATGAAAATGTGGAAGATTGAAGAAGAAAACTTTGCTTTAAAGTCACGTATAGGTAGCTGCAGATCGATCACTCCATCTCTAATCTTCTTTTTAGGGTCAAGCAATTTAAAACTTTTCCTTCTATTTTTATTAATAATCATATTAATTGAAAAGTTTCCCCTCAATAAAGAAATATACTTAGGGTCCGTTTAGTATACGGAATTAATGAAATTGGAATTGAATTGAAATTGAAATTTCATAAAATTCAATTCCATAGAATTGAATTCATCAATTTAATATAAATGAATTCATCAATTTTAATTCATTTTTTGCACTACCAATTCCAAATTCACATAATTTTTGTGTTACCAAACACCAGAATTTGAATTGAATTCCGTGTATCAAACGAGGCCTTCTATTAAATTGACATGAAAAGAACAAATATAAGTAACATAATTTTATTTTTCTATGTTGTGGTAAAAATCACTGGTCAATTCTGATGAGATGATCGGTGGCGGTGCTCTGACGGCTATAAGAAGACATTTCAATGACTCACGATGGCGGTCGATGGTGCTCTATGAATTCAGTGCAGCAATGACAATGGCAATATCACTTGTAGTAGTGTGTCAATTTCTTTTTTTAGGACAACAATGTAAACTTCTATTCAGATCTAATACTTGGTACTATGATAGTGTTTGGAAAACAACTTTTCAGATAGTTTTTGACATTTTTGACTGGTTTTGACTTTTTTGATTAAGCGAACAGCCAAACAACTTTGGCTAATGACTTTCGTAAAATAAGAAAAAAAAGGAAAATAAAGAAGTTAACTCCAAATTCCAAATGAGAGGAGGGAAAAATAAAAATTGTGCTTCGTACTGCTTCCGTGATTTCATGGTGAACATAAGAAATGTAGATGTTCTCAGATTTTTCATCAGTTTTATAAATACGGAGTAATTTTTTTTATTCGTTACAACTCCTTATAGTTCCTTACAAATTTTTTTATTCGTTATAACATATTGTTATTGTAAGATTAATACGGAGTATAATTTATATGGATTTAAGAAGTACATGAAGATTGCAGTAAGGAATACATCTCTTCCAACTCCGTGCAGTTCCTTACAACTCTTTTCAATTTTTTCTAACAGTGACTTAATAAGATATTACGGAGTATATGATTAATATAAAATACACGTAAATTTGTAACATTTCTACTAAAATACATACAAAAATGAATTTTTTTTATCTAAAATTAAAATTTCTAACATATTTATTTAGATGATTATTTAATTGAGTGATTTTTTAATATTTAAATTCTTTTTTAATTTTTATTGGCAATCATAGGTGTCAAAGTGGCAATCCACGCACGTGAGTGACGCGTGTAGACATAACTGCTGGCACAATTAACCCCCAAAACCCTGCGCACCATTCAGCCACCGTTTGGAGGTAAAAACTTGAACGGATCGCCGGCGAAATCGGGACCCCTTACAAAGTAGAGGACGCCGGCGGAGAGTGAGTGGGAAACGATGGCGCAGTCACTGGAGCTTTTGCTTATTCAGTTCCTGATGCCGGACAATGACGCCAGGAGGCAGGCGGAGGACCAGATTAAGCGGCTCGCGAAGGATCCGCAGGTGGTCCCCGCCCTAGTCCACCACCTACGTACTGCAAAGACCCCCAACGTCCGCCAGCTCGCCGCCGTGCTCCTCCGCAAGAAGATCACCGGCCATTGGGGCAAACTTACTCCTCAGCTCCGGCAGCTCGTCAAGCAGTCTCTAATTGAAAGCATCACTGTGGAACACAGGTGAATTCTGCTTCATACTTCCAGTATTTATTGAACAACTTCTTTGCTTTTTTGGGGGAGGCAAACTGATTCCATTCGTTTGCATCGATTCAAATATACTTTCTAGGCCTAAGATTATCACCCTCAATGGCAATATGATTTGATTATTTTGTTTATCATTCTCCTTCAATATCATGTATTTCATTTTTGCAGTGCACCAGTTAGACGAGCAAGTGCCAATGTGGTAAGTATTATTGCAAAGTATGCAGTTCCTGCTGGTGAATGGCCTGATCTATTGCCATTCTTATTCCAGTGCAGTCAAAGTCATCAAGAAGATCACAGAGAAGTATGTTTTCAATCATCTAATGCTTTGACACGAATACTTATCTTGTACGAATACCCACTTCACTAGACTAATGCATTGTCTCCTTCATATATGCGTTGTGAAGGTTGGGTTGATACTTTTTAGCTCATTAACTGAAACAATAGGGAGTTCATTTCAACCATATTTCACGGAGCTGCAGTCACTGCTACTTAAATGCCTTCAAGATGAAGCTAGCAGCCGTGTTAGAGTTGCTGCGTTGAAGTAATTCTTTTCTTAAAACAAGAAAAAATGAAAAGCAGTCTCTGATAGTTTCAACTAGTTATTTATCATCTTATATATGTCTTGTATCTCATGCCTACTGGAATTAACTTTATTTGACAGGGCAGTTGGATCTTTTCTAGAGTTCATCAATGATCAGGATGAAGTGGTGAGAACATACAGCCTTACCAAATTTGATGTCACCTGTGGCATATCCTTTTTTAATATCAACTTCACCCTACTGTTCCAAGGAAAATTGAAATTGGTACCAGAAATAAATATTCACTTATCTAGGAGTTGCACTGATATGTAACATAATCTATGTAAAATACTTGTCTAGCTTTCCTCTTCAATGTGTGAATATCTATATGCATTTTCCCTTGTTTCTATGAGCCCATGTGGTGGGGGTGGGTGTTATAGATGTGACATTGTTTTTCAATGGAACCTTAATTCTTCGTTCCCTCTATGTACTGCTGTCAGGTTAAGTTCCGCGAATTCATTCCCAGTATATTGAATGTCTCAAGGCAGTGTCTTGCTTCTGGTGATGAGGATGTTGCCATACTTGCATTTGAAATTTTTGATGAGTTTATAGAATCTCCTGCACCTCTTCTTGGAGATTCAGTTAAGGCAATCGTGCAGTTCTCTCTGGAGGTTTGCTCTAGCATCAATTTGGAATCCAACACGCGCCATCAGGTATATTCTCTTTTGCTGTTAAACATAAACATATGGCGGTACATGGATCTTTCTGAAATTACTCTACACGGTTTTGCTAATTTGTTCCAGCTCTTTCATACCAAATTTCCTGTTATTGTTGTATGATTTTTATCCTTTTTTCTTATCAGGCAATTCAAATAATCTCATGGCTTGCAAAATACAAGCACAATTCTCTGAAGAAGTACAAGCTTGTAACGCCAATTTTGCAAGTTATGTGTCCATTGCTTGCAGAGTCTACTAACAGGGACGAAGAAGACGATCTTGCTCCAGATCGAGCTGCTGCAGAAGTTATTGATACCGTTGCTATAGCGCTGCCTAAACACGTTTTCCCTCCTGTTTTTGAGTTTGCCTCTATGAGTATCCAAAGTGCCAATACAAAGTTCAGGGAAGCTTCACTCACATCTCTGGGTATTATATCAGAGGGTTGTTCGGAGCTCATGAAAAGTAATCTGGCCCCCATTCTTCAGGTTGTATTAGGGGGCCTCAGAGACCCCGAGCAGATGGTGAGAGGTGCAGCTTCATTTGCAATGGGTCAATTTGCTGAGCACCTGCAACCTGAGATAGTTTCTCACTATGAAAGCGTTCTTCCTTGTATTTTAAGTGCCATAGAGGATGTTTCTGATGAAGTTAAGGTTTGAAGTTGCTCTGTCAAATAAGTATGTTTGATTCAATATTGTCCATTTATATTATGTTCTTTAAAAGAACACATTTCCGTGTAGGAAAAGTCATATTATGCTCTGGCATCATTCTGTGAGAACATGGGCGAGGAGATTCTTCCTTTTCTGGATCCTTTGATGGTGAAGTTGCTTCATTGTCTACAAAGTAGCCCCCGTAACTTGCAGGAGACTTGCATGGTATTGTAAATGTTGTTATTGTTATTATTATTGTTACTACTCCCTCCCTTCTGTCTAGGTTGACCAGACCACACAGTATAAGAAAAAGTTTTCAATCATAATTTAAATAAACTTGTAATTTACCTAAAATGCCATCATTTAAAGGCAACTTCTCATTAATATTCTTCTTGGGAAAAAGGTGAATTTAATAGTATAAAGAAGGTAAATTGGGAAACAAAATATTTTTATGTGCATATATTTTGAGTAGGCAGATGCAAAGGAAGAGTTGACTCAGGCAGATAAAAAGAAGAGAAGTGAATATTTTATTTTTTATTTATTTGATATGTATTGGTATGGTCTCTCTTTTTTCTGTTTTCTTATGTTCGGTATGTTATCACAGTCTGCCATTGGTTCAGTTGCATCAGCAGCAGAAGAAGCATTTGTTCCGTATGCTGAGCGAGTTTTGGAGTTGATGAAAAATTTCATGGTGCTTACCAATGATGAAGACCTCTGTTCACGAGCAAGAGCCACTGAATTGGTTGGTATAGTTGCAATGTCAGCTGGAAGAACAAGGATGGAGTCCATTTTACCTCCTTTCATTGAAGCTGCAATTTCTGTAATGAACTTTGTTACTTGTCTGCATTTTGTACTTTTGACAGCGTTCCATACACTATGCTCACCAATTTATCATGTCAGGGGTTTTCTTTAGAATTCAGTGAACTTCGGGAGTATACTCATGGGTTCTTCAGTAATGTAGCAGAAATTTTAGGTGATGGTTTTGCTCAGGTATCATCGGCTAATGAACCTTTTGATTCGTATACATATTCTTTACTGTTCACCTGTAAGATGTCACTTGCCATTATGTCGTATTGTGGCAGTATCTTCCTCATGTTGTTCATTTGGCCTTTTCATCGTGCAATCTTGATGATGGTTCTGCTGTGGATGTCGATGACTCTGATGGAGATGAGAATTTTCATGGATTTGGCGGGGTTTCATCTGATGATGAAGCACATGATGAAGCACGGGTTCGAAATATCAGTATAAGAACTGGTGTATTGGATGAAAAGGCAGCTGCAACTCAAGCCCTTGGCCTATTTGCTCTACACACAAAGAAGTTCTATGCGCCGTATCCTTGTTGTTATTGTTATTACTTTCTAGTAGGGGTAAGGTCTGCGTACACACACCCTCTGTGGACCCTAGTTTGGTGGGATTCAACAAGGTTGTTGTCCCAAATTTATCTTGACAATTGCTTTTGGCACAATGCTTGAGAAAATGGAATTGTTATTTGAGATTTATTTAGGAAGGCTAGGAAGAATATGAACCACCCAATTCTTTCCCGAAAGGGAAATATTTGAGATTATCTCGCTACCACCACCACTACTACTACAATGTAGTAACTATGGTTTTTTAAATCCCTTAATTTATTACAAGATACTTGGAAGAAACATTGAGGATTATGGTAAAGCATTCTGCATACTTCCATGAGGATGTTCGTCTGCAGGCAATTATTGGTCTTAAACGTAAGTTGCAGTGAATTCCGTGATTTATACCAGTATACCACCTTCCATTTGCTCTATACTCTGGATTCTAACCTCTGTGTGTGTTTATATATGTATTCACAACTATTTTATGCAGTTTGTTATATTTGAATTTCAATTCATTTGATCTCCATACCATCTTTGGAACATTATTATTTTTAATATATCACATAAAATACACTAGAATTGGCCATGCCATTGTTAATGAACCAATGTAGAGACCCAATTTTCTATCTTTTGTATATTTGGGTACAGCTTTGCAGTATTGAAGTTTGATGGTACCAATAGTATAGGCTGGATCTAACAATCAATCTATCTACATTCTTTTGCAGATGTTTTGACAGCCACTCATGCAATTGTCCAAGATCATAATGTATGTGCAAATGATCCTCTTGTACCAACTTTTTGACTTAAAAATTGCAAATCGCAAAGTGATCATGCCTTCCTGTTCCAGTTACCTCGTGGTTAAGTTTTTAATAGGAAATCAGGAATCTTCAATGCGTTCTTCTATTGAATCACTTATGTTAATTATTTCATCAAGCACCATTTGGTTGGCTATAATTTTATTTCAGCAATGAAATTTTGGCCAAGTAGTGGACAAATTTTTAATTTTGTATTTCTTGTGAATGATTCTCTGTTATTGTTCCTTTTGTTTTGCAGAAAGATACAGTGAATGCGAATGATGTGCTTGGTGAGATGTTATTCCCCCACTTGAGAATATCTTGGTTTCACCATTAGAGCTATTATAATCACTATTTGCATTTATATCTTCTTGGCAGCTACTGTGATGAGTTTCTATATCAAGGCAATGACTGATGATGATGATAAGGAAGTTGTTGCTCAAGCTTGCATAGGCATTGCTGACATTATGAGGGATTTTGGATATGTGACTATTGAGCCATGTAAATTTAAAGTGTCTTGGAATCTTTCTTAAAATCTATTTTCTTCTACAAAAAAAGACTTGTACGCTATGTTATTTTGTTCATGTTTCAAATGCAGATATGGATGAGCTTGTAAAGACAACCTTAGTGCTGCTCAATGAGCAGTCTGCTTGTCAGGCATTTGAATCAGACAGTGAGGAGGATGATGACACTGCACACGATGAAGTGCTTATGGATGCTGTTTCTGATCTCCTTCCTGCGTTTGCCAAGGCAATGGGTTCTCATTTTGCTCCTATATTTGCAACGCTGTATGATCCATTGATGAAGTTTGCGGTAATTCAGCAGTAGCTGCCTGCTGTATCCTGCCCTTCCTTTGAGCATTTAATTATGTTTGCATCTTTAACACAAAGTTAATACGTGATTTAGTCCCTCCACTAAACACCTACTCAATTAGGTCTTAACTTTTTTATTGGACTGAATTTCGTTATCAACAATGAAATGTGGACCCATTTTGGTCTTCTTGCATATTTGGTCCTAGATAAGTGAGGTATTAATTGTCCTTCTTAATTAAAGCAAAGCATACATAAGTACCAAACAGAGTCTAAATTGCATAGTTGCAGACCAAAATGAGCTCTCAAGAAAGTCAAGAACCAAATTGAAAATAGTTCATGGCCAAAGGTATCAGTGTTAACTCTTTAATACAATATGTACTATTTGTCATTGCAGAGAGCAACTCGTCCTCCACAAGATCGGACTATGGTGGTTGCAAGTCTTGCAGAAGTCGCTCAGCATATGGGTGCCCCAATTGCCAACTATATCCATGTAAATTTAATCAAGTTTTCCATTTGACATCAATACTCAACATTGTTTTCATACATTTGACAAATAATTTATGCATCAGGCTGTGATGCCCCTTGTGCTCAAGGAATTAGCATCTCCTGAGCCAACAAATCGTAGGAATGCTGCTTTTTGTGCCGGGGAAATGTGCAAAAATGGTGGCGAATCTGCTTTGAAGTATCCTTGGCGCTTAGATTATTTTTACTCCCTCTGTCACGATTTAGTTGTGTACTTTTTAATTTTTTGCTTATCCGGAATTAGTTGTCCACTTTTCATATTTGATAAAGAAATTATGATGAATTGTCTAAAATATTTGAGTGACATTTGAAGGACTTAATTGACATTTTAAACTCAATTGTTAAAGTGAGCATTTACAAAGTGAAGAACTAATTCCGAACCCAGAGAGTTTTATTTTTGGACTTTATCTGTTGCAAATGTTCCCTCCCATTAGATAGAGATTGTAGAGAGCATTTGGGATTATTTATTTTAAAATAACATGCTCGTTTTGGAGGAAGATAAGTAAAAAAAGTGTTGGACCTAATGAAAACAAATGCTTTTAACTATTTAAAAAGCACTTTCAAGTGCTTAACTGCAAAAGCATTTACACCATAAAGTTAGCCCAAACTAACATGTATTCAGTTGTATATACCTCTTATGTTTCGCATCTCATTCTGTTTTTTGGGTCGTCTCTATTTTCGACATTGTTCTTGTTACATCCGTGCTAGATACTACGGTGAAGTCTTGCGTTGTCTTTACCCTTTATTGGGAGGATCTGAGCCAGATAATGCAGTTAGAGATAATGCTGCTGGTGCAGTAGCAAGGATGATCATGGCACATCCAGAGTCAATCCCATTGAATCAGGTTGACATCTTGCCCAATATGTGTGTTTTTTTTCAATATTTCAGCCTGATAGTTCTTTGCTAAAATCATTTTTTATAGGTGTTACCTGTTTTCTTGAAAGTGCTTCCCCTTAAAGAGGATCTCGAGGAATCAATGGCTGTATATAGCTGCATCTGTAGTCTTGTTTTATCGTCCAACTCCCACGTACCCACACTCTCTCCTCTCTCTTTCACTTTTACCCAAATTACTTTCCTCCCCTTCTCTATGACACTCCTAACACATTGTTTTCCTTTCATCATCCAGATCCTCTCTTTAGTTCCAGAAATGGTAAACATTTTTGCTCAGGTTGCGGTTTCACCTGTTGAAACCCCTGAGGTCAAGGCGCTTGTTGGCAGATCATTCTCTCAATTGTTTAACATTTATGGCCACCAAATGCAACCTCTCTTGGGAAATCTTTCTCCCGCACATGCCAATGCCCTTTCTGCAATTTCCCCTAAAAGCTGAGGCCAATTCGAGAACCAGTAAACTATACACAACTTGGTATTTATGTCTTCTAGACATTAATTCAGACTCTTATAGGTTTGATTTTATACAGGTATGCATTCATTCATTTAAGGGAGAATCACCATTTAAGTCCTTCGATTACTCCCAAATCATGCCACACAGTCTGTCTTGTTATTTTGCAGGCTTTGGTATCCTGTCTCCGGGTTCTCCATTGTGGGGACTGTCTTGTTTGTCAGTTTTGATACACTATTTTTTATTTTTATGATTCAAATTTTGTTTTTTTCTTGATGCAAGTTTCTTCATTCACTCAAGCTGTTTTCTCAGTGCATTTATCTATAGAGTTTTAGGAGTGCGTGTTTGGAAATGATTATAGTTCTATAAGGGTTGTGTGTAAAAATCAAATTTATGTGTTTTTCACCAAAAATTCATTGGTTGAGTAATGAGATGATTCTTAAAAGTTAGTATGTTCCATTGAAATATGCATTTCCAGACACGTAAAAATGTTTGGAACAATCCTTACATCATGTTAAAATGAGTGCAATTTTCACATTTCTTTGACTATTTATTTAATCAATAAGAACAGTCTTGTAGTATTCTTGCAACCTCGGCTCTCTGTTGGTCACTCAAATTGGCAGGAAACCCAACCATGAATCTAAGCCTAAGGTCACCCCTGTGTCCTCCACCACCATCAACAATGCTCTTCTTGGGTCTGGGCATCCCTTGGCCAGGTATGATCTTCTCGTATCCCGGAAAGATGACATCATCGTCCAAGTCAAGAGTCATGCTCTCCCCTCCCAGTAGCGGCACCGTTATGGTGCCGCCACCGGCGAGGGCCTGAACAAGAGGGATTTCGACGCCCAACTCGAGGTCGTCGCCTTCCCTCTTGAACACAGGGTGCCTCTTCTCTTCGATCACGAATGTTATGTCCGCCGGGAGCATCCCCGGCTTCTCGTCCCCCTTCCCTTCGAATGTGATCTTTGTTCCCTTCTTCCACCCTGGTTTCACCACTATTGTCACGTACTCTTCTTCTTCAACTATTAACCTGCAGCATCCCATTCAAAAATATTTCACATTTTTTTGTTTTCATTATGAGAAATTTACGTAAATAGGACTAAAACATAATGACTTTCCCAATATAGGGTCATATGTTTTTATTTTCCAATGTAAGACCTTTGGTTATTATCTATTAGTCATTATTCAAGCAAATGTCCATCATTACTGGATATTATTTCTTCCACTAGACATTATTAAGTCCTATTTATTAGAAAATAAAAAAGTTTAAGTCTTACATTGAGAAATGACTTATGTTTTAGTCATATTTATTGCAAATTTCACATCTTTTAAATAAACGGGGTGGTTCCTATGTTATGGCATTTCAATGTTTTTTGGTACTATATGTTGACATTATTGATATTGTAACTCTATTTTGGAAATAGAAGCATAGAATTTTTGTTTTAGTACTTTTTTGTACTTCATATATTTTACTCTTAATTTAATCTTTTTTTTGGGTGGGAGGGGATAAGAATACGTACCCAGTGTTGGAAATGACCTCTCTTGTAATCTGGACCACCTTAGCACGTCCATGGCACAGCTCCTCCAGCGTGCACTCCAGCTTCCTCTCCACCGCTGGCGGCTTTCTCCGGGCAATCGACTGCGAGAATATGATCGGCGGCATGTTGTTTCTCCTGCTCGTTATTTTCGAGAGCAACGCCGGATTACTCCCCGCCGCCGCCGTGGGCGTCGATGGTGCCGCCGCCGCCGCCGACGAAGAAGGGGTGTTCGGCCCGCTGCCGCCGGTTGCCGCCAGCGTCGATTTCTGCAGGTGGGCGTAAAAGTCCATCGGCGTAGGCGGCGGCATCTTCCCCCTCCGGCTAGCGCTTTTTGACATTTTCCGGCTGATTTCTGGGGGCACAACTCGGCTCGTCGTCCGGGACAAAAGCCTGGGACTGGAAATCACAAACTCTTCTCCCTCCTCTTCTTCTTCTCCGTCTTTGGCCGTTATTCTCCGCTCCGTCTTTTTCGGAGTCTTTTCTTCTTCTTCGTCCGTTAAGGATGTCGTCCTGTTGCATGCTTCTTCCCTCTTTTTCATACTCAGAACCTAAAATTTACATTGCAGACATTCATGAAATGCTTTCCTGAATTCAGCTATATATACAATATCTTTTTTGACTTAGACATTAAAACAAAGAAAAAAAATCATTATTAAAAAGAATAATAAAGGATTGAGGAAAAATTCATGTAAATATCTTCAGAAAATTGAGATTTTATATAAGAATACTCCAAAACCACATAATTATAGAGTATCATTTGCGCTTCCAGAAATTCAACATTTTTACAAAAAATTGAGGTCCCGTTTGGTATACAGAATTCAAACTATGAAATTGAAATTGAGGACTTCATTTCTAATTCTGGTGTTTGGTAGCACAAAAATTATGTGGATTTGAAATTAATAGTGTAAAAAATGAATTGAAATTGGTAGAATTCAATCCTATGCAATTAAATTCATGAAATTTCAATTCCAATTCAATTCCAATTCCGTATACCAAACGGACCGTGAATGATTTTTTCATCCTTAATTATATGCATGTTGATGCATGTGATAAATAATTGGAGAAGAATGAAAAATGTTCGACGTACCCTATAGGCCTCATTGATGGAGGTGAACTTGACCTGAGCTTCATCCCGATTGGAGGAATTCCGGTCAGGATGCCATTTCCGGGCAAGACATTTGTAGGCCTTGCATATGTCCGCAAGCGATGCGGTCTTTGAGATCCCTAAAATGTTGTAATAAAAATTCGTCGTCGTCCTCGGAGACTTCGGAGGATCTCCCATACATATGTGCATTCGACGACGCTGCTTTTTCCGGCGGCGGTTGGCCGCTGGGATGGTGGTGAGATTGATTTGGGAGGCGGTGGCGATGGTATTGTCAAAAATAAAAAATAGAAAAAATGGAATGGAGAAGTTTTAGAGGTGCAGGCCTTTTTCTGCCTTTAATTTATCAGAAATATGTCTGCGTTAAGACAGTTTTTCCCTTTTTTTGATTTCTTTTTTTTTTTTAAATTAAGTTTCTTTCCAATGCAAAATAAACTTTGACAGTTACAACTTACAAGCCTTACAATGTTAAAATATGATCTTTAATATTTTTTTTTATATCGAAGATTGGATATTTAAAATACTGTAAAATGACAACACACAATATCAATTTGTGAGCGACGAATATACATTGCCAAACATGATCATATACATTACCAAAAAAATATAGTAATGTATACATGTACACTGCCACATTACCACAATGCAAAGTCACATTACCACAGTGTAAAGTCTTATTTCGGGAAAAAAAATGTGAAAGGTCTATTTTCATACTTTTTTTATGTTTTAGTCTTATTTAAAGTGATTTCTAAAGAAACTAAATAATATTAAAAAGATATTGAAAAATGAAATTGGAGTAAGTACAACCATGTTCTCCTCATTTATTTTTATTACTTGCTCCGTTCGTTCCATTTGAATCTTTTGAGTCCGCGTTACAATGTTTGACCAATTTTTTTTCAATTTAATTTATTTGATTGTAAGTGTAAAATGAAAAAAATAATAAAAATAATTTAAGAAACTAAATCAAAAGATCTACGGAGTACAAAACTATAGGTGACATGATCATATTATATTATCAAATGTGTAACGGAAATAAGAAAACAAAATATATAAAATTTGACCGTATGAATAGTATACAAAATATTCAAGTGGGACAAAGGGAATATTACTTATTGTTATTTTGAAATTTGAATTAGATCAGAGTAGACCAGATTATATCAGAAACGATTTTTAAATATATTTACAATCAGATGGTATCAGAACTTATTCCAATCAGATCTCATCAGATCATGTGAAAAGTTGAAAAATAGAATATATAGATGTATTTTGTGCCATGCATGATTTTCACCGAAGGGAAAAATTACGCTTTAAAAAATTTATCTCATCTATTATTGTCATTACTAGACTCGAACCCGTGCGTTGCACGGTCTGAGTTAAAGTTAAATAAATAACTAATAAGGGAAGCATTGATAGAAGTAAAAGATAAAATTTACTTTAAACAAAGATACGTAATATATATTAAAGAGGAGAAGTTTTACAACAACGCACAATGTGAAAAAATAACATAATAAGTTTTAGAAAACTTCTTATAGACTACATTTGCAGTTTTATTAGATGTCACAGGATCTTCACCACAAATCCAAATCTTTAATCCATTGTGATTAGTGACTCGTGATAATGCCACATAAAGCTGGTCATGACTGAATACAGATTTCTTTAGTAAAAGCCTAACATGCGTCAATGATTGTCCTTGACTTTTATTGATTGTCATAGCATAAGAAATCATAATCGGGAACTGTTTCCTTTGAAATTTAAAAGGAATTCTTGCATCCGATGGTGTAAGAACAATCACGGGATAACAATTTCTTAACCAATGTTTTTCCCTGTCAACAATCTCGGGATAAAAATTTGTTTATATAATTCATCCATGTTTTTTCGAGCCAGTGAATACTTAACCAATAAATATACTCACTCCGTCATTGAGTATTTGTCGACATTTGATTTTTCCCTAAAAAAGTAGTAAATTTTGACCTTAAATTTAAAAATGGTATTAGATATTGATACAAAAATAGTTTTATTACATTTATTATATCAATTATTGTCAAAAAACTGATTTATCTAATTAATATGTAATTTATATTTTATTTAATTACATGTCGAAAATTGACCAAAAAAGTCAAATCAGGATAAAAACTTAGGGAAGGAGATGCAAATATCTAATAGGCAATAGCTCAAAAAATTTCCGTACCTGTGCGTTGCACCGTAAAAAAATTCGTTATTATATTTGTCACATCTTAAAATAAATTTATTAGATTTATAATATCAAATATTATCAAAATATTACTTTATCTAATAAAAATACAATATATATTATATTTAATAATAGATCAAAAGTTAAAAAGACATAACAAAAAAAAGTCAAACCTAAACAAAAACTTAGGAACAGAGATAGAAATATATACTACCTCCGTTCCAGAATATTTGTCCAGTTTTGACTTTTTTCCGTCAACTATTTTCAACCTTTGACCTTGAATTAAATCAAATATATATTGTTTTTTAATTAGATAAAATAATATTCTGAAAATATTTGATATAATAAATCAAATAAAACTATTTTTGTATCAATATCTAATATNAGACATAACAAAAAAAAGTCAAACCTAAACAAAAACTTAGGAACAGAGATAGAAATATATACTACCTCCGTTCCAGAATATTTGTCCAGTTTTGACTTTTTTCCGTCAACTATTTTCAACCTTTGACCTTGAATTAAATCAAATATATATTGTTTTTTAATTAGATAAAATAATATTCTGAAAATATTTGATATAATAAATCAAATAAAACTATTTTTGTATCAATATCTAATATGGTTTTTATTTAATTTAAGGTCAAAGTTTATCAATTTTGACCGAAAAAAGTCAAAAGTGGACAAATACTCAGGGACGGAGGGATTAACAGGCAATGACTAAACTTTTTTCGGCCCACATTTTATTTCCGGCCCACACAATATTTTCAGCCCAGACTCGATTCATATAAAACCTACTTATCAAACCTTATTAAACTTACTAAGTTCTTCCGCCGCATCCACCCCCTCTTTCTCGACATACTTGCTCTCTCTCTCTTTCTCCTATATTGTTGTTTCTTGGTTATTGAACATATACGGAGTACATTTGTTGGTTTCTCCGATTCTGTTCGTCGATGCATCAATGGCTTTATTAGGTATTGATATTTTTAGTCAATATTTTTTGGATCGTTTTGCGTTTTGTTTTGATTTTATAGTTTTTTTCATTAAGATCTGTTGTAATGAAAAAGATCTTTAGATTCTGGATTTTCATTACCCGATTTCTTTAGATTCTGGATTTTTTTCATTAGCCGATTTCCATGTGCGCCGATTATTTTCACTTTTTTTTCTTCACATCGTTTTTTCGGATGATCTTGGGCTCCGTTTTGATTTAATGTATTTTTCAGTAAGATGTGTTACAATGCATATTTATATCATCCGATTTATAAATAGATTTTGAAAATTATATATATATATATATATATATATATATATATATATATATATATATAATATAGATATATCTCTGTGTGTGTATATTATAGACATGTATATAATTTTCGAAATAATATACTTATATATATCAATATATTTACATACACACACACACACAATATATATATATATATATATATATATATATATATATATACACACACACATATACATACACGTATATATACATAAATATATTAATATTTGAAAAATATAAGCCTATAAAATTATACTTAGCAAGATGTTTTTAATTATAATACAAAAATACATATATTTGTTATAAATTTTTTTATTTATATAAGAAGTCTTATAATATACTGTGTACATTTTCGAAATTTCTTATACATTATCATCCCCTTTGCAAATAGGACACAATCTGTTAAGTTTTATAATATACATATTGTAAATTAATACATATAGTGTGTTCTTATTACTGTTAATATGTGTATACCATGTGTGTGTGTGTTTATATATAGATATGTATATGTCTATATATATATATATATATATATATATATATATACATGTATATGCATATATGTATATATGTATGTGATATATATGTATGATAATTATTCCCAGCTCTTTGCCTTTGTTCAAAGTTTTCATGAAATTCAATTTTGTGTGTGCCTCATTATAGGGCTGTGATGAGATTGAAAGGATTGTGAAAAGTAGTACTGTGATATGGCCTCAAACATATCAACTTTGTGTGTGTGTGTGTGTGTATGAATATAGGGTTGTGATGATCTGAAAGGACTGAAATAAGT